CGATGCCGCCTTTCAGCAGGCTCAGGCTCCTGCTAGCAGCTTTGTTCCTCGCCCCCATGCACGGCTCAGAGAGGAACTCAACCTTCTTGGTGCCGACCGCTGCACCTACACTGCACCTCCTTGGTGCCGAACGCTGCACAAACACGAACACTGCACTCCACCACCGTTCCAAAGTCGATGGGGCCAGTGGGCCAGACGAGCCCGGTACATCTCGAAGCTACAGCTGCTCTGCGAGACCCATGGCGAATTCCACAAGTCTGGCATGCCGTGCACTTACCTCCCACATGCAGGTCATGGCTGTTCGAATACCGTCCTCCCGAGGGGCCCCCCGGGGGGCGAAACACGGCGCCCCTCCTGGGCGGCTAAAAATATATACGTTTTCCTATGCAAAATCAATGATTTTGGCCTCTTCGGACCCTCTTGGGAGGCCCCTTGGGGGCCTCTTGGGGCGTCTTCGCGGTCTCTTGGGCACTGTGAGAACCGTCTTGGGCGTCCGAGGGATAGCTTTGAGCGCTCCGGGGCCGCCATGGAACGTTTTGGGCGCCTCATGGGGCCCTCTGGCCACGCCTTGGCCGCTCCTCGGGCTGTCTTGGGCCGTGTTGGTCGCCTCTTGGGGCCGTCTTTGGGGCCTCTTGTATCGTCGTGCACGCCGTGAAGACCGAAACATCGCAGATGTTTCCATATACAGAATCAATGATTTTGGCCGCTTGGGGCTCCCTTGGACAGCTCCTTGGGGCGTCGTAGCGGCCTCTTGGGCTCTATGGGAGCCATCTTGGGTGTCCAAGGGCGATCTTTGAGAGCCCTGGGGCCATCTTGGACCGATTTGGGAGCCTCTTGGGGCTCCGTGGACACGTCTTGGCCACCTATTGAGCACGCCTTGGCCGCCTCTGGGGCTGTCTTGGGCTCCTCTTGGGCCGTGTTGGGAGCCTCTTGGGCCATCTTGGGGCCGTCGAGGGGGCCTCTTGTACCCTCGTGCACGCCGTGAAGACCGAAACGACGTAGATGCTAAAAATGCATGTTTCCCATGCACAATCAATGATTTTGTCCGCTTGGGGCTCTCTTGGAAAGCAACTTGGGGCGTTGTAGCGGCTTCTAGGGTTCAATGGGAGCCATCTTGAGCGTCCAGGGGCGATCTTTGAGCGCCCCGGGGCCGTCTAGGACCAATTTGGGGGCCACTTGCGCCTCCCTGGGCACGTCTTGGCCGCCTCTTGGCCAGGACAGGAGCACTCCCGGAGCCCCAGAGCAGCCATTGGGGGCGCAGGTACCGGCTTGGCGGCCCCGATCCCCTTCCGCCGGCAGATTATATATATATATATATATATATATATATATATATATATATATATATATATATATAAATACATACCAAAATCAATATCCACCGCCTGGCGAGGTCCCCGAACATCGTTTCTCTAAGCGGTAATTGTGGGTAAGTCCCCGCCTCGGACTCCTCCTGCGCCTCCATCCCTCGATGCCGTCCTCCCCCACCTCCCCATCCGCCTCAATCCCTCGATGCTGTCCTCTCCCATCTCTTCCTCCTCCATCCCTCGATGCCGTCCTCCCCCGCCATCTCCTCCTCCTCCTCCCCTTCCTCCATCCCTCGATATCGTCCTCTTCCCCCGCCTCCTCCGCCCTTTCCCCCTCTGAGGATGAAGGGGCAAAGGGGTCGGAGGGAAAACGGAGAACGGTGACGACGAGGACGGGCGAGGACGCCAACGACGCCGGGAACGACGAAGGCGGCGGCGACGAGGACGGACGACGACGACGACGACGACGACGACGACGACGACGACGACGACGACGACGACGACGACGACGACGACGACGACGACGACGACGACGACGACGACGACGACGACGACGACGACGGGGGCGATACATCCCATGAGAAATCCTGCTGTGAGGGATCTAGTCGGGGATGGACAGACCCCCCTTTAGCAAAACGTGGTTTAGTGAAAACGACCTGCGGCCCAAACCTGGCGGGCGCAAGCCTGGAAAATAACGGCCGCGGCGCCCTCTCGAGAACCGAAAACGGACAATTCACTAATCGACGTGGCACTGTTGGGGGTTCTGTCCACCCCCGAGTGAGGGATCTAGGGACATGTCTGCCGTCGAGCGTTGAGCTTTCCGAGGTGCGCTGCAGGGCTCCGGCGGGTCGCCAGCGCGTCATCGGCGGATGAATCCCGAACCTTCGCGGGGGGGGCACCTGCTGGCCGCTGGCCCGTGCGCTGCCGAGGAGATGCGTGCTTTGGCTGCCCGCTGCGGCGCCGACCGCTCCCAGAACTCCTCCTCCTCCTCCTCCTCCTCCTCCTCCTCCTCCTCCATCCTCCCTCCTCCTCCTCCTCCTCCTCCTCCTCCTCCTCCTCCTCCTCCTCCTCTCGAGGGGTGCGCTCTGGCCATGACTTCGAGGCGAGCTTCGCCACGGCGACGAGGGCCATCCAGGCCGAGCAAGTGCATTGGAACACATCTTTATGGACAGGATTGCCCGCCGAAAAAAATCACTCTGGCCAGCCCCCTCTGGTCAACGCCAGCCGACCATCCAGCCAACCTCACCAGGGGAAACTTCTTCCCATCAGATATACGTTTGGCGTTGGGAAGATGGCATGCAACATCGATATCCCCAAAACAACGCTGCCACTACCAATATCCAAAGATGGCAACAGTACCACTACCACTAGCTGAGGGGGTGGCTGTCCCACCCTCTCGAGGCACCCTGTTCCGGGCATGCCTCCCGAGATTTCCCGGAAGGTGGTGCCACCAGCTCGAGGGGAGGGAGCAGCCCCCCCCATAGCTGGTGGTAGTGGTACCTTTGTCTCTCCTGGATAAGATCGGGGTCGATTCGGGGAGGGTGCCCTCGTGTTCTTCCTGTGTGCTCGATGTTCCTGTGCATTCTGGGGGAGGGTACCTCGAATGATCTCATGGTTTGGGGTGTTTTGGCCGGCGGAGGGTCTCATGTTCTTGAAGGATGTTCTTCTGTCCCGGGTCCGACCCTACGCGGGCTGGCGGCGCCACAACTGACTACCTACCAGACCACCCCAACCCAACCCGAAGACCCGAATTTCGGGTTGGGGGGCGTATGGGCTCCATATGTGTTTTTTCGATGTTCCCGGACCCCCCCCACTAGACATCGAGGGTAAATCTGAGCCTTCGGGTTGGGTTGGGGTGGTGTGGTGGGTGGTGAACAACGCACGCTACCCTTGCAACGCCAACCGTAACATATCGATTCTCTCTCCTCTGGTTCGGCGGTGGACAAACCTCCCTTGAGTAAACCTCCCCTTATTGAAAACGGCCTGGGACCGAAACTGACGGACCTGGACCCGCAAACATGACGGCCGCGACGCCCTCACGCGAACAGAAAACGGCCAATTTCTTAATCGACGTGTCAGGGTAGGAGGTCTTTCAACCTCCGACTGGTCCTCGTCCTCCTCCCACTCCGGGTCGCCCGCTGAGCGCGGCGACGGGGGCGGACACGGGGGCAGCCAGTGCAGCCACTCCTCTGCGGGGGAACGCTATGGGGGGTGACCGCCTGAGTGGGGAAACATCGACCTGGGCACGGCGATGCATCGCTCATACATTGGCGGAAAAGATCAATAAACAAATGCATACACGTAAGCCTTTGGAGCTCCGCTCAGATCTCTTGGATCTGCGCTGGACCCCCCCCCCTCCCAGGCACGCGGAGTGCACCAAGGGCGGTGCCGGAGCCGCCGCCAGGGGGTTCCAGAGCCGACCCAAGAAATCCGCGCGGACCTCCGAAACTTCATGTTCATGATGATGTCTCCTCTTCGACGGAAGCCCCCCGATTATCGGATCCGGGGTCGACCACGCCTCGGGGCCCCATCGGTGATCAATGGGCGATTTGGGGAGGATGCCGCCCCCCCCTAAGCCCATCCCCGGGAGAACCTAGAATCGGGAGAAGCCAGAATCGGGAGAACCTAGTGAAAACGACCTGAGGCCCAAACCTGGCGGGCGCAAGCCTGCAAAATAACGGCCGCGGCGCCCTCTCGAGAACTGAACACGGACATGTGGGGGGTTCTGTCCACTCACTGTTGGGGGTTCTGTCCACCCCCGAAACCTAGAATCGAATCGATCAGTCGGATCGGCGATTGGAAATGGGCAGCCGAGCTTTAACGGGCGAAGAACGGTGTAAAACAAACTTTTCCGCTGTCGGGGGCGCCTGTCCCAGGGCGGCTGGAAAATTTATACCCTTCTGGTGGCACCGTAGGGGTATAAACTTTCCAGCCGCCCAGGGGCAGGTGTCTCCGACGGCGGAAAGGTTATTTTATACAGTTCTTCGCTCGCTGGGAGGAGTTGGGTCGGCGGAACTATCGGCAGGCCAGTACGGCCTCCATAATTAGAGGGACCGAAGCCCACGTCGGCATGCGAAGTAGAGCCAGATCGTAATCGGCATCGATCGACACCGAATCGACTCGAGTTGGAGGAATCGACCTGAGCCCTGCTGTCCCCCCCTCTAACTCAGGAGAGCCCAGAATCGAATCGACAACTCGGATCAGCGATCGAAATGAATCGGATCGGCAAACATCGGCGGCCGAGTCGGGAAACATCGAATCGGCAGAAATCGGCAGGCTGGTATGCCTCCAAGAAGAAGTCGGAACCCACATCGGAATCCCAAGTCCCCCGCTTAAAAAAAGACACAGCAGTGATGACAACCAATGTGCGTCGAGAGCCCGGTGCGCTGGCGAGATGCACAAGGCAGACCCGGAGTCCCGCGAGGGCCAACCTGCAGTGGGCGGGCCAACGCGCGATGCCTTGGCTGTGCAATAAAAAAAAACAAACCTCGCGACCGCCACCGACGATCCCTGCTGTCCCCCCCTCGGAGAAGGAGGAGGAGGAGGAGGAGGAGGAGGAGAAGGAGGAGGAGGAGGAGGAGGAGGAGGAGGAGGAGGAGGAGCAGGACAAAAACTCCTGCAGAGCCACCGATGAGCCCTGCTGCCCCCCCCCTCTAACTTGCCCTGGATCCTCGCCGTCGTGCGGGTCGTCCTGGCGGGGCTCCCGGCAGGCCGCCAGGGGCGCGGAGGCGACGACCAGGGCGCCGCCGACCTTCGGCGGGGCGCCCAGCTGGGGTCAGGTCGGGCCTGTCCCCCTACAGGGGGCTTTTGGGCGAAAAATATGGAAGGGGCCCTGGGACACGCAAGTAAATACATACACACACACACACAAAAAAACAGGATTCCCCATGGTTTCGGGGTTTCTGTCTTCCCCCCACTTCCCATAGTTGCCCATATGATCTGGGGAGTCGACGATTAATTGTGTTTATGCGTTTTTCCTCCTCCTGAAAATATTAAGATAATCCAAGAGTGCTTCAACAATGATCCCAAATAGCGAAAGAACTCGTCCACAGACCATTTTTTGACTATTTTTGAATCTGCCTCCTGTAGAGGGACGCGCCCGACTTACCACTGGGGGGGGGCTCGCAGATCGTGGCCCGAGGCATGTGCGAGCACGAGGGTGGGCCAGGGGACGCGGCCACGGCCCAAGGCAATCTCCTGGCCACGGCCCTGAGATCCACCACGGCCATGAGTAGGGAAACGAATAATGACATAAACATAACAACTCGGAGGTCCGTGCGGATTTCTCGGATCCGCGCTAGACCCCCCTCCCTGGCGCGCGGAGCGCGCCAGGGGCGGCGCCAGAGGCGCCGCCCGGGGGCCCCAGCGCGGATCCGGGAAATCCGCGCGGGCCTCCGAGTTTTTATTGGACGCCCGAGTTATCCGGGGTATCTCGGGTCCGGGGTAACTCGGGTTTGGATTCCCGAAAAACGAACCCGCATTATCCCTGACCCGAGTTATCCCTGATGATGTGGGGCTTTGGACGCCCGAGTTATCCGGGGTAACTCGGGTCAGGGGTAACTCGGGCTCGGACTCCCGAAAAACGAACCCGAGTTATCCCTGACCCGAGTTACCCCTGATGAATCGGGCCTCTGATTTTATGTTCATGTCATGATTCGTTCCCCCGACGAGATCTCCCTGAGATCCGACACGGCGCGCAAACACGCCGAGGCACCGGAAGCAAGCACGACTCTGGAGCCCCAGTCCTCACTCTTCGGCGGCAGGTCTGAAGGGGCCCCAGGACACACAAAGAAGTACACACAAAGAAAAGGGTTCCCCATATTTTTCCAATCTTTTCTGGGTCTTTGTCTCCCCCCCCACTTCCAGTATTTTCCCATACTTTCGGGGGTATCGAGGATCAATTGTGCCTGTGTGCTTTTTTCCTCCTCCTGAAAATATCAAAATATTTAAAAAGTGCTTCAAAAATGCTCAAACGTAGCAAAAGAACTCGTCCCCAGACTATTTCTTGACTGTTTCTTCCCCTCCCGGATGCCCTGGGGCTGGACCGAGCCGTGCAGGCCCCGGGGCCCGCAGCCGGGCGGAAAGGCCCGCGGCGCGGCAGAGACTCGAGAGGCGGCGCCGGAGGCGCCGCCAGCGGGCCCCGGCGCCGATCCTCCTCCTCCCCCTCCCCCTCCTCCTCCTCCTCCTCCTCCTCCTCTCCTTCCTCTCCTCCTCCTCCCCATGCCTCCTCCTCCTCCTCCTCCTCCTCCTCCTCCCCATCCTCTCCTCTCCTCCTCTCCTCCTCCTCCTCCCTCCCTTCCTCCTCCTCCTTCTCTCTCCTCCTCCTCCTCCTCCTCCTCCTCCTCCTCACCCTCCTCCTCACCCCTCCTCCTCTCCTCCTCCTCCTCTCCTCTCCTCCTCTCCTCTCCTCCTCCTCCTCCTCCTCCTCCTCCTCAGGAATCCGCGCGGGCTTCCGAGTTTTTGTGGGTATGTCCTTGTGTGTTCCCCTCCTCGGGGGCGGCCAGGAGGGGGGGTCCAAAGGGGGGGGGGGGGGGGGGGCGCAAGTCATGGCGGCGGCACGTGCGCGGCCCAGGGGGGGGGGGCGGGGCTGGGGACGCACTGAGACGAGAAGAGGCGCCACGAAATCTGGACCATGGCCCCCGCCACGACGTCCACCCCCCTCTCCTGGTCATCCCCCTACTCTTGGCCGCTCCCGACCTACCCCTAGGTGAGGGGCAACGATAGGGGGGACTGGCATAGGGGGTGAGGAATCAACCTGGAATCGGCGATACATCGCCGATAGATCGGCGATAGGCCTCCGATAGTGCATCCGCACCTTCCTGTGCAGGTTGGGGCTATCGGGCCCCTATCGGCGAACAATGGGCGATTGGGGGTCGATGCATCCCCCCCTGTGCCTATCCCAGGAGGGGGAGGAGGAGGAGGAGGAGGAGGAGGAGGAGGAGGAGGAGGAGGAGGAGGAGGGAGGAGGAGGAGGAGGAGGAGGAGGAGGAGGAGGAGGAGGAGGAGGAGGAGAAAGAAGACCCCCTACCGTTGCCCCCGACTTGGGCGCTCCCGAGGCCTCCATCTCCACCCGGTGCCGGGAGCCGGCCGGGCCGAGCATGCCGTGCCCCGCAGAGTACAGCTCGAAGGGCACGCCGCCCAGGAGCTCCCGGAGGCCCCGGGCGTCCTCGGGGGGCAGCCGCACCTCCTCCGGGGGGGCAGCAAGCTGTGTAGACATGCAGCTGTCGTGCCACCGCATGAGCATCGTTGATCCGAGGAGGGGGAGGAGGAGGGGGAGGAGGAGGGGGAGGAGGAGGAGAGGAGGAGGAGGAGGAGGAGGAGGAGGAGGAGGGGGAGGAGGAGGAGGATGAGTAGGAGGAGGAGGAGGAGGAGGAGGGGGAGGAGGAGGAGGAGGCCAGTGGCGTGGCCGCTGCCCTTCTGGCCGACTTGCCCCCGTGGGTGGGGGTATGCCCTGTTTTCCATTCGGGTATCGCGGGGCCTATCTCCACCTGCGGGGCTGGGCTGGTGGGGCTTAGATACCATGGCCCAGTGGGGATGAGGATAGGTCGCATAAGGGAGTGACGAACGAGGAACGTTCTGGTCACGGCGAGCCTCGGCCACGAGTAGGTGCCACAACCTGGATCTGAGGAACGGCCGTAAAGCCAAAGCCCCTCCGGAGCCCAAAGTGGTCCTTATCTCAGTGCTGGGAGGGGGGGCCCCGCGCCGATCTGAGAGCCCCGCGCGGAGCTCCAACGGCTCACGGTCAGGAACTTTTGCTCAGCGTGTCGCGGCGGCGGCCCTGGCGACACGCCATGCCCTGCGAGCTGAGAGCGTGCCGCTCCGCTCCGTGGGGAGGGAGGCTTGGAAAAGCTCGGGACGTTGACGCCTGAGGACCCAGAAGTGGATAGCGTGTCGCGCCGAAGTTTGGTGTGCCAGCACTGGTGGAGCGACACGCTATCCAGAAGTTCCGGACTGTATGCTCGTGCCGCTGCTCTTCTGAGCATCGTTTGACCCACCCCTATCCCCATGGGCGTTGCCTTGGCCCCACCGGCCGATCTACCCCTCGAGATGGGGATATCGGCCGCTCCCTTCGGGTTTCGAGGGGCGTATCCCCAACTGGGGCGCTGAGATGGCGGGGCTCTGGATGGGGATGGGGATGGGGATGGGGGTCGGTTGAACGATACTGATTCTCTTCGCTAGGGCTCCCAACTTCGCGCTTCGCGCTCCGCGAAGCGCGAATAACTTCGCGCTCTCGCGCCGCCCCCCCAGAGGGAAAAAAGGAGGACGAGGAGGAGGGGGAGAAGGAACGAGAACCGCGAAGCGCGAATAACTTCGCGCCCTGGAGGGCGCCCTTGTCTTCGGCTCCTCCTCGCCGCGGTGGACCTCGCCCCCCGTCAGCAGCATGTAGACCAGCACCCCCAGGGCGAACAGGTCCACCGCGAAGCCGTGGTGCCTGCTGCCCTCGACCATGACCTCCGGGGGCGCGTAGCCGTGCGAGCCGCAGAAGGTGCTGGTGAACGAGCCTCGCGGACGAAAAGACTAGATGTAGGTTGGGCCTGCCCCCCCCTACAGGGGGATTTTGGGCGAACAATTAAAGATACTCAAAACCTATTCCCAAAATGGTCAAACAAATGCCCCAAAAATAGTCCCCAGACTATTTCTGGAGTATTTTTGAATTCTCCCCCTGTAGAGGGACAGGCCCGACTTAAGACTAGACGCAGGGAAAGCAAGGGCGAAGCTGTGCCCCCACAGGGTCCTCTGTTGTTCCCGGCCTGTGCCCGTTGAGGCCCTCATTGAACTGAGGTGCTGTCCGCGGTTCGACAGAGGAGGCGGGTCCCTGGCGAAACCCTAAGCACTTTTTTTTAAACCAGCGCAAGAGGAGCCCAGTGGCAACGACAGGAAACGACGCGACGACGAAGGACGGACGACAGACGGAAACCCTCCATAAGCACATCTTAGCCTAAGATGACTCAGTTCCCCTCTCACGCAAACCTTCGGAGCTCCGCGCGGATCTCTTGGATCAGCGCTGGACCCCCTCCCCCCTGGCGCGCGGAGCGCGCCAGGGGCGGCGCCGGAGGCGCCGCCAGGGGGCCCAGCGCCGATCCAAGAAATCCGTGGAGCTCCGACAATGTACGGTTCTGCATTTTGTGATGTTTTTCCCGTCGCGGGCCGTACGCCAGGCGGTCGTCGCCGCGCACCTCCTCGGCGTCGTCCCGGAGCTTTGCCAACCCGAAGTCGGTCAGCTTCGCGTGCCCGTCTGCGTCCAGAACGACGTTCTCGAGCTTCACGTCGCGGAAGGCGATGCCTGGAGGAAGAACCAACGGCAAGCAAACATGAACCTTTGGAGCTGCGCGCGGATTTCGTGGCTCGGCGCTGGTCCCCCCTCCCTGGCGCGCGGAGCGCGCACCAGCGCCGATCCAAGAGATCCGCTCGGAGCTCCGGCAGTCTAAGCTTATGCAGCTTTTTTTCCTGTGCGAGTGCCGCACTGGTGGAAGTGCTCGATGCCCAGGGCCAACTCCGACGTGAACTGCGCAATCAGGCCGAGAGGCAGGCCGGGCAGCCCCTCGGCCAGCAGCAGCTGCTGCAGGTCGCCGCCGGGGCAGAGCTCCATGACCAGGGCCCACTCCTCCGGGGACTCCACCGCGCAGAAGAGCGCCACGATGCAGGGGTGGACGGGGACCGCGCGCATCATCGCGATCTCGCGGATCGCATTTGCGGTCTTGCCCTTCTTCGCGTAGAAGTCCTTGGAGAGGCGCTTCATGGCGAGCAGCTCGCCGGTCCGGAGGTTGCGCACCTCGAACACCGTGCCGAACGAGCCCTCACCGATGAAGCGGAGAATTTCGAAGTCCTCCATGACGTGCTTGATGTCGCCTGTGCCCACCTTGCCAGAAGGGGGGGAAAGGGGCCTGAGGGGAGCGGGTCCTGGATCTAGAAGTTTCCCTGGTCCTCTGGGGCCAGCTTTCCACCCCGAGGCGGCCTGGGGAGGGCCCCAGAAATAGCGCAAGCTGTGCAGCACGTCAGGGCCTCCTTGCGCCCTCAAGGCACCCCGTCTTCTCCGCAAGCATCGGCCCGCATATCTCCCCAGGGACGCCCGCGGACGGCACTCGTCGAGGGCACTCTGGACGTGGTGGCGGGACGCCCCCTGGGCCTCCAAAAGGAACGACGCCCCAAAAACATGGAACCTCCCAAGCCACCTCTTCTGCATTCGACTGCACGCAAGGGTGGCCGTAATTAGGCAAGAGTGGCCTTTGGGGGGCGAATCTTCCACGGGCCGCGGGGGGGTGGGGGGGTGGGGGGCAGACCCAAGCGCACAAGCCGCTGCTCTCACGCCGCACTCGGCGATCGGGGGAACCGAGTGGTCCCGCAACAAAGCTCAGTCCGGCGAGGGGTCGCGTAATTTTTGGGTCAGAACACGAGTATCCGGAGGCCGCTCGGGACGGTTCGGGCAACCCTGGGACGCACTCGGCGAGGCGCAGCTGCTAGAAGGCATCCTGAGGTTGATCAGCCTTTTTGGAACCGCAGGAAAGTCCAACCATACGCCTTACGTCGTCGTGTGGCCGGTCGAAGCCACCCCGCGAAGGGCCACTCCGACGATAGAACGAGAAGCAGTTGCGTAAGCATGCACTTTCGGAGCTCCGCGCGGGCTTCTTGGATCGGCGCTGGACCCCCTCCCTGGCGCGCGGAGCGTGCCAAGGGCGGCGCCAAGAAATCCACGCGGAACTCCGACACCCTTTGCTTATGATAGTTTGTCGTCGATGCGAGTAGTCGGTTCACGGTGGCAGCAACGCCATGCAAGCATCGGGGAACACCGGATCGTCGGGGCATCGGGATACAGTCGGGGCGTTAACCTAAGGAACCTTAAACAAGGAACGAGGCCCCTTGATCCCAAAAGTTAAGCTTCGATTTCCCATCGAAGACCTCAGGAAAACCCACGCCAAGCTGTAAACCAATCAGGGAACACCGAGCCCCTCCCCAACGAGAAGGGTTCCTTCTTCAGCGCCCCGACTGTAGTCGGTTCCCGGTGGCAGCAACGCCATGCAAGGCATCGGGAAACACCGGAGCGTCGGGACACCAGCATGACACAGATCGGGCCGGCCAGAACCGATACCGTCGGAGCGTTGATCCAAGGAACCCTAAATCAGGACCGAGGCCCCTTCTTTCCACAAGTTCAACTTCGACTTCCCATCGAAAACATGAGGATCTTTTCCATAAGTTAAACTTCGACTTCCCGTCGAAAACATGAGGAAAACCTGAGGCAAGCTGCGAAACAACTGAGGAACACGGAGATCCCCTCCCCAACGAAAAGGGTTCCTTCTTCAGCGACCCGACTGTGCGACAGATCGGGCCGGCCAGAGCCGATGCCGGATCGATCGGATCGACATGGGTCGGATTGGATCGAACCCTTTGCGTTGGGGAGGGGCTCGGTGCTCCTCAATTGCTCCACGCCTTGCCTGAGGTTTTCCTCGAGTTTTCGATGGGAAGCCGAAGCTTAACTCATGGAATAAGAGGGGCCTCGTTCCTTGTGTAGGGTTCCTTAGGTCAACGCCTCGACTGTAACATAGATCGGGCCGGCCAGAACCGATGCCGGATCGATCGGATCGCCCGAGCCCCTCCCCAACGAGAAGGGTTCCTTCTTCAGCGCCCCGACTGTAGTCGGTTCCCGGTGGCAGCAGCGCCATGCAAGCATCGGGGAGCACCGGATCCTCGGGGCATCGGGATAACATCGATCGGGCCGGCCAGAACCGATGCTGGATCGATCGGATCGAAAGGGGTCGGAGCGGGCCGATCGCCCGAGATCGGCTCGCGGCAGCCACCGGCGGCGGCGGCGCGGACTCCAGGTGCTCCTGCGGTGGCAGCTCAATGGGAGCCTCCTCTCGCCGTCGCTCGGGCATCCATGTCCCGTGTTTTTTTTTCGGTTTCGTGCGCGTTTTTTTTTGTTGGCTCGTGGGTCGAGGATGGTCCCCGATGATTCCCGCGGAGAAAGAAATGCACACGTCCATGCGACGCCAGGTCCCACACCATCTTGTCGGCTCTTTCGAATCGACGCTCATCGAGGCTAAGTCGACGCCAGTCGACGCCACGTCGGCGCCATCTCATCGATGACCAGACGCTAAATCGACGACACCAGCGCACTCTAAAGATGGATTTGCGAGGGTATGCAATCAACACTGATAGCAAGGATGCGCGAGAACGACGCTGCAAGTCCCCGTGGACGCCCGCGGTGAAGCTCTTTCGAGCGGGGCTGTCCGTCGAAAGTGGTTGAGGATGGACCGAGGAGGCGAGGATGCGAGGGGTACCCTCCTCCTCCTCCTCCTCCTCCTCCTCCTCCTCCTCCTCCTCCTCCTAGCCCCAAGTGCCAGAATAACGCTTCCAAGGTGCGGGGTGGTTATCGTTTCGCCGGAAGGGGGGGGGGGTTCTTAATTGCTGGATGCGAGGGGTACCCTTGGGAAATTGATCGTCCGCGGTCCAAACCCGACAACGGCCGCTGTTGGGCGGGCGGTCTTCTGCCTCAAATGGACAGCGTCCACGCCAACCCCGACAGCGAGGCCTCTCCACCATTGGCAGGACATGCTGTCGGTCTCTGCGCCCATTCCTTCCGTACCCATGTCGATCGTCCCGACATGGGGGGGTGGGAGGGCACGACTCCGGGCGAGCGGCGGACGCTCAGTCGACGCCAATCGACGCTGAATCGGCGCCACCTCATCAACATCCAAGCGCTGGGCGACGCTGGCGCACTCTGAAGACGGAATTGCGAGGGCACAGTCAAAACTGATAGAAAGGGCGCGCGGGAAGGATGCAAGGGCCGTGGACGCCCATGCCGAGGCTCTTCGAGCAGGGACAGCCATCGAGAGTGGCCGAGGATGGACCGACGCGGATGCAGGAGTGTACCCTTGGGACATCGATCATCCTTACTGCCAGCTTTGACTGCACGAGGCTCCCGTGATTTGCTGCCGGCGGCTCCCAATGCGGCGCCGGCGACGGCGCCCGCGGCGTCCACGGCGTGCCCGTGGCGGCGCAGGCGTCGCGCGCGGGCGCGCCGCGGCACAGGAGGGCCACGCCGAGGGCGGTCTTGGCCTGGGGGCGCCAGCTACAGTCAGAGCTGATGCCGGTGGCGGGCGAGGGGGAGAACTAATCGGAGGAGGAGGAAGAGGAGGAGGAAGAGGAGGAGGAGGCGGAGGAGGAGGAGGAGGAGGAGGCGGAGGAGGAGGCGGAGGGAGGAGGAGGAGGAGGAGAAGGGGGAGGAGGAGAGGGGAGGAGGAGGAGGAGGAGGAGGAGGAGGAGGAGGAGGAGGAGGAGGAGGAGGAGGAGGGGGAGAAGGAGGTCCACTGTCGTCACCTCCCCTTTGGCACGATCGGCGGCGAGCCGGCCGGCCCGCTCCGCGGCCAGCCGCGGCGCCTCGCGGCCAAGCTCCTCGGCCTGGCCGCGCGTGCCAAAACCAGGTGCCAGTAGAGTCGGGGCCCTGAAGAAGGAACCCTTTTCGTTGGCTCGGTGTTCCTTGAGTGTTTAACAGTCTGCCTCAGGTTTTCCTGAGGTTTTCCATGGGAAATCGAGGTTGAACTTAAGGGAAAAAGGGGCCTCGTTCCTCATTTAGGGTTCCTTAGGTCAACGCCCCAGCTGTAGAGTCGGGGCGCTGGCCTGAGGAGCCCTGAATTAGGCACGAGGCCTTCTTTTTCCCAGGCGTGGGCCTTCGACTTCCCGTGGGAAGCCTCAGGGAGAAACCTGAGGCAAAGTGCACAACAATCGGGCCGGGCGAAAGGGGGGGGATAGCAAAGGGGCGGTGTGAGAATCAGCTCACGTATAGCTGATTTTCCCGGCGCCTCCCCGCGCCGGGAGGCGCCCATGTGTCGAGGAATGGGCCCGGCGGCGGGGCCGAAACCAGCTGCATGCAGCAGACCTCGTAACCCCCCCTGTCCCTATCCCCCCCCTTCTCCTGCGGCCCGAAGCAATCAAAAGGAACGCCGAGCCCCTCCCCAACGGAAATGGGCTCCCTCTTCGGCGCCCCGACTGTGCGGCGCCGCTCAGTGAGGCATCGCTTGGGCACGGCGCGACCCCACCGCACCGGAGGCCCCAGCGGGGGCCTCGGCCGCGCGAGCCGCAGGGGCCCCTTCCGCGCCCCATCCACAGAGCGAGATGGCCGGCCCGGGACGCCCGCGCACGTCGGCCGGAAGAGGTAGGTAAAAACATGAAGTAGGGAGGCGGATCGAGCAGATTGGGTCCAGGCCCCCCCCCCCAGCGAACAACAATCACACAGCAAAAGCGTGTCCTCTCTTGAAGTAGGAAGGCGCTTGAAGCAGATTGGGATCTGGGAATCCAAAAATACCTACTTTCAACGACCGGCGTGTGCGGGCTCCCGACGGGATGTATAATTCGTCGATGGCCGCATCCCATGCCCAGCGGGGGTGCATCCTACGGCTGACGCGGCTGCGCGATTTCCACGCCCGCGGGGGCGGCTCACCATCCCTGGGCGGACGTGGCGCGAAGAGCCCATGGCCCCGGCCTGGGCACGTGGCGTGACTCCAGCGCGTCGTGCAAGCGAACGTTGAAGAAGACGCGTCCCGGGGTCCACCCGGTGGGCAGCGCCATTCGCGGACCTGGGCAGCAAGGAGGCTGTGCCCGCGCACGCGCCAGGGCCCGACAGGAGGCGGAGCGTCCGCGCGCGCCTCGGCGGCCGCGCCTGCGTTCGCCCCTGGGGCCGAACCCGCGACCGCAAGCTCGGCGTGCGATTCTCTCCGACCCCGACCCCGACCAACCCTCCACCTCGAGCTCTATGAGACCGTGCTGATCGCGAGTGCCAACCTCAATTACCGCGGCCTCCATGCGCCCGGTGTATCGGGTGAGGAGCCGTGCAAGATGGAGGCAACCGAAAAGCAAGGCGCGGTAATCTTCGGCTAAACGGCTTTCGGCCGTCGCAACCTTCGCTAAGGCGTCGGCCGCGTGGTTCCCGTCGCGCTGCCAAGCCGTGATCCTCCCTTCCACGACGTCTTGCCACGTCACGTGCGCGAGGACCTTGGAGATGGTCACATCTTCGAACGCATCGTCAGCAGCCGCCTGGCGCCACAGGTGGGCGCGGGGCTGGCCAGGTCCTAAGGCGCTCGCCAGGTCTTGCCTGCAGGCGACGGTGCCTGTGCAGTCTGAGTGCATCGTGTAGCGGCCGGCGGCGTGCCTTGACGCTATCAGGACCGCGTAGTCCTCTCCGTCCTTGGCGGACTGGGATGGGCAGAGATTTCGGGGCACAACCCCGTGCAGAGAGCCCAAGAGACGAAATTCGGCATCGTAGGCAACCGCTGCCCAGCCAGCCACCCTCAGGGTGGGGAGTTCTGCATTGAAACAAGCTCCATCGGTGAACAGATGCCCACCGTCCAGCATTGGTAGGCCAATCGACGGCCAGCGCTCCGCCCTGAGCACGGCGCCAGGCGGGAGCGGCGGCCGCCGAAAACACTGGGCAGGGTCAGGCAATAGCGCTCGTGCAAATCGCTCCCCAGCCTCATCCCCGCCCTCCAGCACTCGAGCGTCAATATCGCGGACCGCGGGGTCCAGAGTGTCTACCCTCCAGGCGCGGTGCGCGGGGCACTGATGCGTGCCCCGCAGAGGTCAGACAGCCCCTGCCCCTCCCCCTCCCAGCAGAGGCGGGCCTGGCACCGATGCGTGCCGCAGAGCAGGCCTCGCTGAGCACGTCGTGGTGGAGGCTCCAGCCGCGCTCGGCAGGCGCGTGCAGCAGCTCGTTGAGGGGGGGGTTGCCAGAAGACGGGCGCTACCAGCTGCGGCGGCCAGGCCTGACCAGGCGGCCCAGGGCGTGAACGTCCGAAGCTTGCCGGGCCGCCTCCTGCGCCCTGAGACGGCAGAAAGCCCGGCGAAAGCCCCTGGAGGTCCCAGCGCTCGCCCTTCTCGTCGCTCAGCGTGAACGGGTCGTCGAATCTCCAGCCGGCGCGCTGCAGCGTCAGCGCCAACGCCGTGATCGGGTCGTTGCAGCGCGCCCGCGGGAAGCGCTGCGCGGCCAGCTGCCGTGCGCTGTCCAGCAGCACTTGCCGCAATGACCAGTGGAAGACGCCGATCCAGACCATCCCGACGTACGCCTTAATTGCCAGCGCCGTCGCTGGCACGAACGGGTGCCGCCTCCAGCCGGCGCGCCAGCTGGCCATGGCTAGCAGCTCGTCGAGGAAAACGATCCTCTGCGCGGAGCGCGGCGGCCCTCAGCCCTTTGAGCTTTTGCCAGTCGACGCGCCCTGGATGGCGGTGCCCCATAATGTTCAGTCGGGCGTATCCCCCTACAGGGGGATCTTGGGCCAAAGCTGGAAATACTCAACGACTGCCCCCCAGATGCCCAAAAATAGTTGGAAAATCGCCCCCCTACTATGTTTGGCGATTTTTGATTATTACCCCTGTAGAGGGACGTGCCCGACTTAACCGTGGTGCCATCGCGGCGGGGCCAGCGCGGTGGAGCGACGCGATCGGCGCGCCCGCCCCGCGAAGCCGTTCCAGGCGTGCACCGCGAGCGTGCGATTGTGCGAGCCGCTGGCTCTGCGTGCCCGCTCGCCGCGGGCGCCCGGCCGTCGCGCCGCCTCCCAAGGCGCGATGGGAGTGCGACCGCTGCTCCAAGCTAAAGTCGAGGCGTTGACCGAAGGAGCCCTAAATCAGGAACGGGGCCCCTTTTTTCCATGAGTTGAACTTCGATTTCCGATCGAAAACCTGAGGACAAATGAAAGCAAACTGCGAAACAATTAAGGGACACGGGGCCCCTCCCCAACGAAAAGGGTTCCTTCTTCAGGGCCCCGACTGTATGGGAGTGCGACCGCTGCTCCAGGCTACGGTCCCAGCACTCGCAGAGCGCCTCTGCAAGAGCCGTGGACTTGGCCAGGAGACCCGTCTCACGGTCAGCGATCGGCAAGCCCAAGGCCGCCGCGGCGTGCTTGACCCGCTTGTAGCCTGGCGTCAGCTGCTGCGTGATCGTTTCTTCCCCGCCGACCCCGCGGAAGGAGATGTCGTCGATCAAATTCTTGATGGTGATAGCAGGGGCGCGCGCCGCCGCGCGCTCGAGCACCGCCAGGAACATGAGGCGGACCCGAAACGTGGTGCAAAAGCAGCCAGCTATGACCCCACCGTTCATGATCACCTCGTGGCTGACAGCGCCCTGGAGCGCCACTCGCCGGCGCGCGCGGTAGCAGCAGCACAAACGCCGCAAAAGCCCGAGGCCGAATTCGGCATGCCGGCCACCCTGCAACAGCTCCGAATGTGAGACTCGGCGCACCGCTGGTGGCAAATGCGGCTCCAGACGCGCGCCAGCAGGGGCATGAGGCGATGGGTCGGACGCCGCCCGCTGCCTTCTCCAGGAGCACCAGCCACAGCGGCCCGACGTCGGGCCTCCGCTCAGATCCATGACGCACGTCGGCCAAGCTCTGCAGTATTTTCTCGGGCAGCGGCAACAAGAAACCTCGGGCGGTACGAATCCCAACCCAAGGCCGTGCCGGCCGGGCTTTCACCGGCCGCGCCGCCGCCCGCGCAGGGAGCGACAGCTCTGCTGGGCTTGCACCAGCAATGCAACAACGCAGCGCAACGCAAAAGTCCGACGCCGAGGCGCGTGGACACAACTCTACATGCAGTGGCGGCAGACAGCGGACTGCCAAGCCACCAGGTTTCTCAGATCTGCTGGTGCAAGAGCAGCACGTCGTTGTGGTCCACCAAGAAAAATCCCCGCAGCCCGGCGGAGGTCAGCGGCTCCGAGCGGTGGGAGCCCCAGCTCGGCGCCCCAGCTCAACGGGTGCCCCTCCGCCTGCCGTGGCGTGCTTCCGGGCGGCAGTGCAGGTGCGCAGGAGGGGGAGGGCGAGGAGGAGGAGGAGGAGGAGGAGGAGGAGGAGGAGGAGGAAGAGGAAGAGGAGGTGGAGGAGGAGGAGGAGGAGGAGGAGGAGGAGGAGGAGGAGGAGGAGGAGGAGGAGGAGGAGCAGCAGCAGCAGCAGGAGCAGGAGCAGGAGCAGGAGCAGGAGGAGGAGGAGGGGCGAGTTATTCCCTGCCGAGAGAAACATGGGGGGGCAATGACTAAAGAGCTCCTGAAGTTACTCGGCGGCCAGCGAGGGGGGAAATGAAAAGGAGAAGGCCTTCTCAGAAGGCGGCGCAACTTATCAAAACCCTCGCGCTTTCTGGTAGTTGTTTTTGGTGTTTTCGGTAAGGCTTAGGAAACTTCTCAGCAGGCTGGGAGACTTCCGAGCCTTCCGAAAAGGCCCGCCCCTTCTCACTTCCCCCCCTCGCTCGACGCCAGTGAACATAAGGATGCGCGATGCCCGTCGGTCGGAAGAAGCGGGTAGAAACATGAATCGGGGATGGACAGACCCCCCTTTAGTAAAACGTGGTTTAGTGAAAACGACCTGAGGCCCAAACCTGGCGGGCGCAAGCCTGGAAAATAACGGCCACGGCGCCCTCTCGAGAACCGAAAACGGACAATTCACTAATCGACGTGTCACTGTTGGCGGTTTTGTTTACCCCCGAATGAAATAGGAAAGCATTGGAAGTTGAGTGGGCTTCCGGCCGCGCCTCCAATAAGAAGAAGGGTAGGGGGAAAGCCGCTCGACCCTTGAAGTAGGAAGGCGGCGAAAGCAGACTGGGATCTGGGAGTGCATAAACACATACCCATCGGTCGGAAGAAGTAGGCAGAAACATGAAGTAGGAAGGCGTTGGAAATAGATTGGGTTTCCGCCCTCCTCCTGAAGAGGAGGGAAGAGGGAAAATCACTCGACTCTTGAAGTAGGAAGGCGCTGAAAGTAGATTGGAATCTGGGAATCCAAAAATACCTACTTTCAACGACCGATGGGTACTGTCAACGACTGGCGTGTGAGGATGCAGGGGCCTCGGGAGGCCACGCCGACGGTCTGCGAGCGGGGCGCGGCCAGCGAAAGTGGCGCAGGATGGGCCGAAGGGGGAAGGTGGATGGGGTACCCCTGGAAGGGTCGCTAACCCTTACTATCAATGTCGACTGTAATGTTAGGTCGGGCGTGTCCCCCTACAGGCGGATTTTGGACGAAAAATAGGAAATACTCAAAAAGTGCTCAAACCTACTCCCAAATAATCCGACAATTGTTCCCGGACTATTTTTTGACAATTGTAGGACATTCCCCCTGTAGAGGTACAGGCCCGACTTAAGTGTAATGTGGGACCAAAACTTATATAAACACAGGGGGACCCACAATGACATACAAGCATCAGCACTCGGAAGCCCGCGCGGGTTCCTCGGATCAGCGCTGGGGGGCGTCCCGGCGGTGCCAGGGAGGGGAGTCCAACGCCGATCCGAGAAATCCGCGCGGACCTCAGAGTGTATATATATATATATATATATATATATATATATATTATAGATGGGCGACTTCGGAACTTGATTCCAAACACGTTGTCATCTCTTGGGTGCACATGTTTCACTTCCCCCGCCTTCCCCCGGCTTCCGCCAGCGGGGCGGCCTCGTTTTACTTCCGCCGACCATCCGCCGCCTCCCGCCGCGGAGGAGACGACAACTCCTTCGATCCTCGAAGGCAAGGCCCTCTTTGGAACGCCTCATATGTTTATGTCAATGCTTGTTCCCCGAAAGCAACAGTTGGGGCCCCGCCTCTCGACGTCGTGCGAAGCATAGCAGGCGGCAGAAGCAGAAGCGCCGAAACGCCGCCGCCGCCGCCGCCACCGAGGGAGAAGAACTTGATACACCTTTCGCCGCCAGGGGCGCCGCTCCCCCGCCCCTCTCGCCCTGAGAGAGCGCGGGGAGGTCCTCACTTCCCAATCCCAGGGCTGACATCACTGCAGACCCCATCGCGCCACCAGCCGTCCGGGTGCGACTGGAGCGGCACTGCTCGAGCCGGGTCCATCTCCGAGGGCCCTGGGGGCGTGAAACGTGGCGCGAGAGCGCCCGACGCGGAGCAGAAGCTGCGACGCCCCGATCACGAGTTCGAAGGACAAACTCTGCCCCCGGACCAGTCGTGGGGCGAGTTCAACCCAGAAGCGGATCCTGCAGCGGCGACGAGGGGCTTATGCGACCCGTCCTCCTCCGCCTCCTCCGCCTCCTCCGCCTCCTCCTCCTCCTCCTCCTCCTACTCCAAAAACTTCAACCTCGAACCTCGAAGGGGCGCTCGCCCCTCCTGGGAGTAGGTGCAACTACCCCGCGAGCGGCGAAGGTACCCAAATCCACGCCCTCGCGGTCTGGATTCCGTGGCGCCGGTCCTGTGGCTGTGCGCGGCCGCATGGATACACGCTCCGCGCGAGGCGCCCACGAAACCGCGCCCCGTACCCACGGGGTCGCGGCCCAGGTGGGAGGCGTCTGGGGGCCTGAACTGGATGGGGGCCCAGAAAACCGACCAAGGGGGGGACGAAGCCCAATCCGCTCCCAATGGCTCCCCCGACCCCTCCCCAGGCGCACCGGGCGCGGTTTTGCACCCCGGGTCCGCTTCTGGTACCTCATCCTGGGGCCCTGGAGCGGCCCCATCGGAGGCCGAAAAGGGCAATCAAAACTTCCCCCCCGAACCCAGAGCCTTGAACCTCGCCCCCCCCGCCATTCCTGCTCCCCAGAATCAATGCTGGGCCACCTCAGGGCTCAACCTAAACGGTGTTTTTTTCGGCTTCGTTTTTGTTTTCGTTTTCCCTCGTCTCGTCTCCAATCCGCCTGTACCGCAAAACGAGATCGAAACGAAAACGGCCCCCGAAATCGCCACACACCGCTTAGGTCCAGCCCTGTGCCACCCCAGGCCCCCAGCCGGCTCCAAGTCCCAGGGGCCCTGAAAACCGGCCAGGAGGGGGGACGAGGCCCAATCCGCTCCAAAGGGACCCCCCGACCCCTCCCTCAGGTACATCTGGCGCCGTCTTCGGTAATCCTGGGGCCCGAACTAGAAAGCGGCCCCTCGGCCACAAGAACTCTTCCCGAACCCCTCCCCGAGGTGCATCTGGTGTCATCTTTGGTAATCCCGGGGCCCGAACTATAAAGCGGCCCAATCGGAGGCCGACAGGGGGGCCACAAGAACTCCTCCCCGAACCCAGAGCCACTGCGGGGCCCCCTCAGGCCCCCGGCCGGCTCCCAGGGGCCCACTGGGCATCGCTCGGACGTCCATTCCCTATGTTTCTTTCGGTCTCGTGCGTGGCTTTTTCGCGAAATGATCAACGCCGCTCCTCGATGACCCTCGCCGAGAAAAAAAATGCACACGTCCGAGCGATGCCAGGCTGCAGGGCCACCTCAGGCCCCCGGCCGGCTCCCAGGGGCCCGCGGGGCCACGAGCAGCTCGTCTCCCGCGCGCGCTTGGCGCCCCTCCCGGTGGCCAGCGACGCGGCCACCGCCGCCGCCGCCAGGCCGCAGACGGCGGCCCTCCAGGCGCTCTCCGGCCCGCCCGGCCAGGCCTCCTCCTGGGGGGGGGCCCCCGGCGGCGACGGCAGGGGCGAATATTGTGAAGGGGCCCCAGGACACACCAATAAATGCACACAAAGAAAACTATTCCCCAGATTTTCCTATATTTTCTGGGTTTCTGTCTTCCCCCCACTTCCCATATTTTTCCATATTTTCTGGGGAATCGACGATTAATTGTGTCTGTATGTTTCTTTCCCTCCTGATATCGGGAGACCCGCGACGGTGCGGTGACAGACCGTGCGGTGACCTCGAAAGCCCCCAAGACCTCACCGCACGGTCCGTCACCGCACGGTCTCGGGACCTCGGGGGCCCCTGTCGCCCGAGACGTCCTCGGAGAACGACCCGAGTCCCAAGACCGTGCGGTGACCCCGGATCCCCACCGAATCACCGCACCGTTTGGGGGCCCCCGAGAATAGCCCAGGGGCGAGCATTACACGCACTCGCCCGGGAGCCTTTGCGAAGACACAGATCGTCGGCGCACCTGAATGCATGCGTTGCTCTCCCCTGGACTATTCGCCCCCATCGTCGCCTCTGAGGGGGGTCCCCAGCGGCCGGCGGTTGAGCAGGGGCCGACCGTCCTGGCAGTCCTGGAGGCCTACCACGACATGTTCCCAGAACGCAAGGAATCTTCGTCTAATCGCAAGAACGATGTTCTCAGAACGTGGGGCCGATGCATGTCTCAACAAGAACTGTTTCGGAGCCATTTCGTGCCAACCACAGAGAAGGTTCTTAGAACATTGTTTGGTGGGCCTGTGAGTAGGCCAGGGCGCGTCTCGCCACTGCTTGAAACTGGGGCCAAGCCCTGTTGTTCCCATCATACTTGCTGACCGCATCCCAGAAGTAGTTTCGAGCACACAAAAAAGTATCGAAGCAGTGTCGAACGAGTATCGCCTCCCAGGGCCCGACGCGTGAAAACCCTCAATTTTCGGTACTTTCTTGGTGCACGGAATTCTTTTGGGCGATCAAAGCTAAAGTAGGTTGGAACATCATCAGCCAAACCCTACCTTCCCCCTACGCTCTTCCCGCCCCTCGCTCGCCAAACCCGCGCTCGTCGCGACAGAAAGCACGGTGGAAGGACTTTTGCGACTTTCGAGCCTCTGGGGGGGCCCTCGCTTGGCCCTGGGACCGTCAAACAACGACTCGGGATGCAGAGCCGACCCCTGAGGAGGGCTCGATACCCCTGGCGGCCGACGCTGTGAGCAAAACCGTGACGACGGGGGTTCTGGGCCCTCCACCTCCTGAAAGTCTGGGCGTGTTTTTTTTTGTTGGGTGCACCCACGGGCTTCCTGGCCCCGGCACCAGCACAGATCGATCCGGCTCAAGAGGTGCCACGGGACGATGGGGTCTAGGGCTTGGGTCGCCGTTCCCACGATGTGCTGGCCATCGCTCGGACGTCCATTCCCTGTGTTTTTTTCGGTTTCGTGCGTGGTTGTTTCGCCAAATGATCAAGGATGCTCCTCGATGGTCCTCGCCGCAGGAAAAATGCACACGCCCGAGCGATGCCAAGGTGCCACGGAACGGTGGGGTCTGTAGGGCTCGGGTCGCCGTTCCCACGGTGTGGGACTCGCCCTCGACGGAGGAGGAGGAGGAGGAGGAGGAGGAGGAGGAGGAGGAGGAGGAGGCATGGGGAGCAGGAGGAGGAGGAGGAGGAGGAGGAGGAGGAGGAGGAAGAGGAGGAGGAGCCTTGGGACGGGAGGCTGTGTCCCAGCATCGTCGGCACTGTTGGCATTACTCTGGCTCTCCGTCTCCCCCTCCTCTTCACAACCCGCTGTGAATGCTAATTCTTTCGCTTTCCCGACGATGGCCGGGGAGTGGCCTGCCCCTCTCCGCGTATTGATTGTCGCTCGCAGGATTTCAAGAGTTGATGTTTCCTATGTCTTTTCGATCGGAACGTCTCCAGTGCCTCAAAGCGGTGCTCCCGCTGGTGGAGCGTAGGCCTTATTTTAGGATCGGCACTTTGCTCCCGTCGTTCACAGTGGCGCTCTCGCCACAGCGTTGGCCACTTTTCTGGATCCGAGTGCTTGCTCATCGTTGTCGCCCCGCTACTTTCCCCTCCCGCACCTTCCTCTGGTCATCCTGTTCCTCCCACCTCTCCAGCTCCTGCTCCTGCTGCTGTTTTTCTTTCTCGTGCTCCTCCTTCCTCATCCTGCTCCTCCTCCTGCTCATCTGCCACCTCCTCCTCCAATGTACGCATCTCTCCTGTTGTGATTGCGCATGACACAACGGGGTCCCTTTGGGGATTCAAATCTTCGATGGCACCCGTCGGTATAGAAAAACAGCGCAATGGGAAGGGATGGGTGGGAGGGGTAGGATGTCAGATATAGCGCAAGCGTGCCTAGCTTGCTCGATACCTCCTCTCCCTGCCTCCGTCTCGGCACTCATCCTTCTCCTCCTCCCCTCCTCCTGGCTCTCCTACTACATTCCCCTCCCCCGCCTCCTTCCCTCCTCCTCCCTCTCCACCCCGTCCTCCTCCTCGACGCTCTCTTCGGGCACCGCAGGTCCATGGACCTCCCTGAGCCGTCCTGTGTGTCTTGCTTTGGCCTCGCCCCCCCCCGACTGCGACGAGTGCAGGACGAAGACACATCCGGCGGGGAGTCATGCAGTCGGGCTGCTGAAAGAAGGAACGCCAAATCAGGAGCGAAGCCCCCTCTCTTGGCCCTGTGAGCGCCTCCGTGCCCCAGGAGGGCAGGAGGAACAGCCCTGGAGGGACCCAGGGAACATGGAGGCCCCTTCCGAACCCACACTGCTCCTTACCTCAGCGTCTTCACTCTACCCCGGGATCTCTGGGAGCCCGCGGGTCTGGCCGATGCAGCGGGCGCCGCGGGCGCCTCCAGAACGCCCCCGAAGGCCCCGGCGGCGGTCCGGCCACGGGCCTGCCTGCCCGATCTCCGGAGGCGCGGAGCGCGCCAGGGGGCGACGCTGTGGGCGCCGCCGCAGGGGGGGGTCCGGCGCAGGTCGAAGAAACCCGCGCGGAGCTTCAGCACTATCTGAGGTGCATGCAGCGTGTGCTTCTTTCGAAGCTCTTCTTCGAAGCCGGTCGAGGACAGGATGATGATGATGATGATGATGATGATGATGATGATGATGATGATGATGATGATGATGATGATGATGATGATGATGATGATGATGATGATGATGAGAGGAGGAGGAGGAGGAGGAGGAGGAGGAGGAGGAGGAGGAGGAGGAGGAGGAGGAGGAGGAGGAGGAGGAGGAGGGAGGAGTGGGGAGGGGAGGAGGAAGGAGGAGGCGGAGGAGGAGGCGGAGGAGGCGGAGGAGGAGGAGGAGGAGGAGGAGGAGGAGGAGGAGGAGGAGGAGGAGGAGGAGGAGGAGGAGGAGGAGGAGGAGCGGGAAGAGGAGGAGGACGGGCGATGGGTCAGAACGAAGCAGCAGAACACCCAGCGGGAGAGGGGGAGGGCCCCAGGGGGAGAGTGCAGATCTTACCCCATCCCACCCTGACCTCCACTCCCCGCGGGTGTCCTTCGAGGGTTGAAGAATGGCATACACGTAAAGGTTAGCCAGCGTGGACCCCAAGCACTGACTTCTTGGACTATATGCGGTGCGATCCAGGTGGTGCAATCACTGTGGTGCAAAGCAGTGCGAAGCAATGCAAGTCATCAGCGCGAAGCAATGCAACGCAATGCAAAGCAAGACAAATCATAGCAAATCAATGCAGTGCAATGCACAGCAAGCAAGTCAAAGTTAATCGATGTAAGGCATCACAAACCAGTACGATGGGGCGGCGACGGCGACCCGACGCGCAGGCCCAGACGACGGGCGGCGGCGAGGGGGCGACGAGGCGGCGACGGCGGCCACGTAGCCGCCAGACCGCCGCGCAGGCCCTAACGACGGGCGGCGGCGAGGGGGCGACGAGGCGGCGACGGCGGCCACATAGTCGCAAAACCGCCGCGCAGGCCGTGACGACGGGCGGCGACGAGGCGGCGACGGGGCGGCGACGGCGGCCACGTAGCCGCCAGACCGCCGCGCAGACCCAGACGCTGGGCGGCGACGCGACGGCGGCGGGGCGGCGACGGCAACCACATATCCGCCAGACCGCCGCGCAGGCTCAGACGACGGGAGGCGACGAGGTGGTGACGGGGCGGCGACGGCGGCCACATAGCCGCCAGACCGCCGCGCAGGCCCAGTTCATCAGAAACGAACACAACCCCGAAGCGCAAGCACTGTTGAGAGAACTTTCGGAGGCTCGCGCGGAGCGCACCAGGGGCGGCGCTGGGGGCGCCGCCAGGGGGGCCTGGTGTCCATCCAAGAACTCTTCGCGGGGCTCCGAACATGCATGCTCATACGATGGTTTTGTTGCTCGGAGGGTGCAGGTCCCACCCCTATCCCACCCTGACCTCCACTAAACGTGGGTGTCCTACTTCGATGTACCTCGATTTGTCACATTTTCGGGCCGGGCGAAAGGGGGGATAGCAAAGGGGGGGTTTGAGAATCAGCTCACGTAGCTGTTTTGCCCGGCGCCTCCCGGCGCCGGAGGCGCCCATGTATCGAGGAATGGGCCCCTCGGTGGGGCCGAAACCAGCTGCATGCAGCAGATTTCGAACCCCCCCCTTTCCCTATCCCCCCCTTTCGCTCGGCCCGACATTTGCCTCGATCAGCTTCGATCTATCTGCATTTGTTGTCTTATTCGGCCCGATCCCCGCAGGTCGGTGGGCGAAAAGCCGTCAAGCCCTTAGGGACCATCCCGCCCTCACCTCTACTCCCTGCTCGGGTGTTGCCAGGCGTGCCCCTGGCCCGAGGTGCCCCCAGGATCTCCGCGGAGGCGCCCAAGGGCCTCCAGAGCACACCCTCACGAGGCCCAGAGGCCCTCGGGGGCTCCAGAATCTGAGCGACAAGCTGGGGGCACCTTGGCCCACGGGGGCGCGCAAACATGGAGTAGCGATCCATGGATTACGTAGGCGCGCGGTCGCCAAATCCGTGGATCGGGGGTGGTGCCCTCCCCAAAATGCGGCCGGTGACGCCTCGTTCGGCGGCTAAAGCCCGCGATTTTTCATGGAAACGGGACCCGTCGCTAATCCACGCCCCCTTAATAATCCATGTTTGCGCCCTCGCCCTCCCCCCCCTCCTCCTCCTCCTCCTCCTCCTCCTCCTCCTCCTCCTCCTCCTCCTTTCCTCCGCCTCCTCTTCCGCAACGTCTTCATTTACCTCCGACGTCTTCTCACGCATCCCGTCACCCTCGAGGGCCGAGGTATCCAGGGTCGGCGGCACTGGCCGTAAGGCCTTAGCACTAATCCATGTTTGCGATCGCCTGACCTTTGAAGCCCCCGATGTGGGTGTCCTGGCGCTGCTGGCGGCTGCCCGCTCGGACCTGCGCGGCGGCCGTTGCCTCCGGCGGCCAGCACAGGCCCGCGAGCGGCGGGCCGCAGCAGAGGAGGGCGGCCGCCGGAAGGAAGAGCGCGCCCTCGAGGACGTCCTTTCCCGGGGGGGGATGGGAGGAGCAAGATTTCCTGGATTTCAATGCCTCCTCCTCCTGCTCCTGCTCCTGCTCCTGCTCCTGCTCCTGCTCCTGCTCCTGCTCCTGCTCCTGCTCCTGCTCCTGCTCCTGCTCCTGCTCCTCCTCCTCCTCCTCCTCCTCCTCCTCCTCCTCCTCCTCCTCCATGGTCTCCTGATGTTCCGCAGGCGCTGCAGAAGCGAGGCCGCTGGATACTCTGGACATCCGGAAGCGCAGCCCGAGCCAGCCCTATCATGACATCATTCCCGCACTGAGGTCTAGGGTGGGTGGGGGGGGGTCGGGGCGGCTCTGGAAGGGGGAGGGAGGAAGGGGAAGGAAGGGAGGAAGGAAGCGAAGGGAGGGAGGACGGGGAGGAGGAGGAGGAGAGAGGAGGAGGAGGAGGAGGAGAGGAGGAGGAGGAGGAGGAGGAGGAGGAGGAGGAGGAGGAGAGAGGAGGAGGAGGAGGAGGAGGAGAGGAGGAGGGAGGAGGAGGCGGAGGAGGAGGAGGAGGAGGAGGAGGAGGGGAGGAGGAGGAGGAGGAGGAGGAGGAGGAGGAGGAGGAGGAGGAAGTGAGGAGGGAGGAGGAGTGAGGCGGGAGGAGGAGGAAGGAGGGGGAGGAGGGGGGGTAGCACACGGGGTGGCCGCCTCCTGCCCCGCTCCCCCTCTGTCGTCTTCCTCCTCCCCCTCCTCTCCTCCTCCCCCTCCACCTTCTCTCCCTCTCTTCCTCTTCCTCTCCTTCCTCCTCCTCCTCTCCTCCTCCTCCTCCTCCTCCTCCTCCTCCTCCTCCCTCCTGCGCCCTGGTAAGGTGCAGGAGGAAGAGGAGGGAAGGGAGGGAGAGAGGATGGAGGTGGGAGGCGGGAAGAGGGATGAGGGAGGATGAAGGAGGGGGGAGGGAGGAGGGAGGAGGGAGAAGGGAGGAGGGAGGAGGAGGAGGGAGGAGGGAGAAGGAGGGGCGGGAGAGGAGACATGCAACTATGCATCAAGATATCACGGGTCATGCTGCGCCGACGGAACAACGGGTGCCGACGTGGGACTGTCGTAATCCCCGGACTGGGGTCCCTCAGGAGGCAAAGTTGAACAACCAGGCGCACGACCCCAGCACTGGCCGACCCATCTTCGTCGATTGGGCGGTGACCTGCGTACACTCTACCTATGCCCCACGCAAGCACGCCATAACGAAACGAGATGGGCTCGCAGCAGCCCAAATGGTCGAGGATAAACGCGACCGCTACCCCCACGGGAGGGCCTCGATCTAGTCCCGATGGTCTTCGAGACCCGGGGCGGCCGTCCGACGAGGCAGTGAGCTTCGTTCGGAGCTACGGTGCCTCTTGTAATTACGCCGACCGCTCTGAGCTCCTGAGTCGGATCTGGCGGGACATCTCACGCACCCTCCAACACGAACGCGCGGAGAGGATCCTGAGCGCCCTGGGGCGTTGAGGGTCAGCTGGCTGCTTCCGCGGCTCCCACCACCAGCAGCCTCAGCACGACCACCGCCAGCAGCAGTGGTACCACCTCCAGCACGACCAGCACCTTTCCTACTGCCTCGGGGATGGACAGACCTCCCTTTAGTAAAACGTGGTTTAGTGAAAACGACCTGAGGCCCAAACCTGGCGGGCGCAAACCTGGAAAATAACGGCCGCGGCGCCCTCTCGAGAACCGAAAGACGGACAATTCACCCATCGACGCGTCACTGTTGGGGGTTCTGTCCGCCCCCGACTGCCGCGATTGCCACCGCGGTCACCAGCACGTCCACCACGATCACCACCTTCAAGCCCCACCCACCCCTGACGCCGACCACCACAACCACCGCCACTACCAGCGCCGGGGCCCCGCAACTCGACGACGGCGACAATCACCGCGACACTCGCCGCGACCGCCACAGCGCCAGCGGCCACCACCGCCACTCCGACTGCTACTACGACTCTACCATCGCGCCGCCTTCCACGGCCACCAGGACGTCATCCACGACCGCCCCCGGCCCACCCCGCCCTCTTCGTTTGCCTCTCCTCCCCCTGCCGCCCCTGCCAGGCCGCACCTACAGGCCTTTCTCGAAAGCATGCTCTTTACAATTATCTTACGCTCTTCATGGCTGGGGACCCGGGACCATAACCCCAACGCCCGGGGCTCCCCTTGGTGACGGGAGTGGGGACCCACTCGGATGCCCCAGGGCCTTTTTGCCAGGGAGTGAGGGAGGGATGGATGGAGGGAGGGAGAGAGGGAGGGAGGAGGAGGGAGGAAGGAGGAGGGAGGACCGAAATAAACAAAGGTTACATCAACGATGTTGCAGCACACCTTCCCGCCCCAAGTCCCGCTCGTGACTTCCCTCCACGCTTACTTCGAGGTTCACCAATCCAGCTCACGCAGCTGGCTTTCCCGGCGCCTCCCGGCGCAGGAGACGCTCACGTGTCGAGACAGGCGCGGGGCGGTGGTGGCGAAACCAGCCGCATGCATTCGCCCCTCCCCCTTTGCCCAGTCCCCCCCCCCCCTTCCGCCCGACCCGAGAGGGGGCGGCTCCAGGAACCGCGGACGGGGGGAATCGGGAGCGGCCAAGAGGGGGGGGTCCAAGAGCGGGGGGGGTGCAACTCAGGACTGGCGGCACGTGCGCGGCCCAGCGGGGGGGGGGGCCAGGGACGTATATGAGATAAGAAGAGGCGCCAGGAAATCTGGGGAAATAGAATGGCCCCCGCCGTGATATCCTCCCCTACTAGTCCTCCCCCCCCTCTTTGCCGCCCCCGAGGGGAGGGAGGGAGGAGCAGGAGGATCGAGGCTCCAGGATTGGGGCCTGTGGAGATCTGTGGCAACGTCGGGCCTCTGGAAGCCTGCGGGATCCCCTGGCAGGCTGCAGGGTCTTCGACGTTGAGTCTGCTTCTTGTTCAGTGCCAGCATTTCCCCGCCGTTTCGGCAGCAGGGAACTTCGGCGGTGGACAAACCTCCCTTACGTAAACCCCCTTTCAGTGAAAACGGCCTGGGACCGAAACCGACGGACCTGGACCCGCAAAAATGGCGGCCGCGACGCCCTCTCGCGAACCGAAAACGGCCAATTCGCTAATCGACGTGTCGGGGTAGGAAGTCACCCTTAGTGGGCCCTGGAAACGACAGGGCCGTTTTTTCAACGGTTCCGTTTTGCTGTTTTTTTGCCGGTTCCGACGCCGTTTTTTACCGGTTCCGTCGCCGTTTTTTGACCGGTTCCGGCTCGGGTTCCAATCCTGGAGCCGTTTTTTTGCTGTTTCCGGTCGCCGTTTTTTGGCCGTTTCCACTTTCAAGGGGCAATCTTTCGGAAACGGTGAAAAACCGGCCCTGCCGTTTCCGGGGCCCACTGAGAGAAAGTCTGTCCACCCCCGAGAACTGTCTATCGGGCCCGGGACCCTTGGGGATCTTCTGACCCGGGTCAATCCAGACCCAGGTCAGCAGGAAACCAAAAACTGCAATGCAGGAAAAAGAAAAACTGCGACGCAGGTCTTCGCAAACCCGGGTCAGCCAATAGGCGCGGCCACCTCGCGGCTCGCTAACCCGGGTCAGCCAGAAGGGGTCGTCGCAGGATCCTGCAGGATCTGGCGCCCTGGCTGACCCCCGTTTGCATTGACCCCCGCCTCGAGGCTCCCGAGGCCCTCGGAACACGACTTGTCCGGGGCGGGACGGCGGTGGCCGAGGTCGGGGGGCCTCGCGGCCATGGGCCGAACAGGGTCGCGGCTTCGGCAAGCCGTGTTCGAGCAGGGGCGAGCGGAGGAGCACAGGGAGGGAAACATCTATGCATATCTACAAATGCGTACATACTTGTACACACATGCTACGAACACACACATATATACAGATCGGTATACATTTGTGTGTATATATATATATATATATTCATATATATATATATGTATACATATAATATATGTGTAACTATAGATGTGTGCGCGCGCATTATCGATCCAATACGCCTAAGATGGCTTCAAGACGGCCCAAGAAGCGTTCGAGGAGCCCCGTGAGAGCCCCCATGAACCTTCCCACGAAGGCCCCGGGGGGCCAGCATGATTTCCGTCAGGTTCTTCGATCATTTGTGGGTCTTCGACTTTTCAAGCCTCCGGCGCTCCAGAAGGGCCCAAGGGGCCCCAAACGATGCCCCCAAACGGCCGAAGAGGTCCCCAAGAGGGCCCCAAGACTGCCCAACAAGCACTGATCCCGGATGACATGCTGCACCAGAAGGGCCCTCGGAGGGGTCCAGGGACCGAGTTTGAATGGATTTGGCCTCATGCCCCCCCTCCTGACCGATTTTCTAAGTTCCCAGCCAGTTCCGAATCCCGGGCCGCCTCCAACAAGCATGCCTTGATCCTCGTCCATCCTCGACTCTGACGTTGGATTTTGTCCACCACCGTGCATCATCAAACGCTCTATCGACCGCCAAACCCGCATCGTCTGGAAGTGCGCACTCAGAACAATGGCGGGGAGGGCAATCTGAAGACCAACCGTATGTATCCCTCGGGGCAGTACTTCGGTAAGCACACGCCGTACCGGTCTGGACGGCCGACGCTTGACACTCAAGCACAAACTTGGGGTGGGAGGGAGAAGGAAGAGATAGGAGGAGAGGAAAGGGAACACCAAATGACGGCTGATAGGAAGTACCCCCAAATCTTATCAGGCCGGTGGCTGCAGAAAGACTCTTTCTATAGAGGGGTCCAAGGAGACACATACACACACGATTAGACACAAGCTTCAGGATTTCCAATATTTTCCAACATTCTGTGTCGTGTATTCCCCTCCTCCCCAACATTTCCGATAGTTCCCCATCAGGTTCCACGAACATCAGCGTTTATTTGTGTTTGTGCCAGTTTGTCCCTCCTCCCTCTTCCCTCCTGATTCTTCAGGCGGGAAGAGGGAGGAGGGATGAAGGAGGGGGGAGGGAGGAGGAGGGAGGGGGGGAGAGGAGGAGGGAGGAGGGGAGGGAGGAGGGAGCGAAGGAGGAGGAGGGGAGGAGATAAGGAGGGAGAAGGAGGGAGGGAGGGAGAAAGGGAGGGAGGGAGGGAGAGGCGGAGGGACGGAGGGAGGGAGGGAGGGAGGGAGGAGGGAGGTCCGACATAAGCCAAGGTTACATCAACGATGCTGCAGCACACCTACCCGTCCCAAGTCCCGTGAGATGCTGCCGACCCGAGGGGCTGCAGACAGACGCCGCCTTCCTCGACTCATCCTCGACGCCAGAGCTCTGCCGCCTGCTGGGTGCGCGGGGCCCCGGGCCCTTTGAGGGGGCCCTGGGACACACAAATCAATAGACACAAGTAACAGGATTCCCCATAGTATTCTCCCGCATGTCCGGGGCTTCTGTCTCCCCCCCTCCCCACTTCCCATCTTTCCCTGTACCTTCTGGGGAGTCGACGATGAATTGTTTTTTTTTTTTTTTGTTTTCTGTTTCCCCCTCCTGGTGTTTTTTTCCCCCTCCTGGTCCTTGAGGGCCGCCGGGCACAGCGGGGCGCCCCAGCCCGCCAGGCCGAGCAGGCGGTCGCAGCAGCGGGCCGCCAGCGCCGCCGGCGTGGTCACGAAGAGCGCCGACTTGGCCCAGGTCCTGACGGCCGCCCGGCAACATTCGCAGTGAGCGATTCCCTGCCAAGCATGCAAGTGTCCCGAACTGTTCACGACGGGTTGCTTTCCCAAGTTGCAGCCTCTGGGGGCCCTGACCCGTCCACGGGGCCGTCAAACACGACCCGGGATAAAAAATTGGCCCTGGGGTTATGTTGTTCCCGTCCTACTTACGGACCGCATCCCAGAAATAATTTCGAACACCCGGAAAAATGTCAAAAGAGTGTCGAAGCAGTGTCAAAACAGTGTCGGGCGAGTGTCTCCCAGGGCCCGACACGTGAAAACCCTTGAGTTTTGGTACTTTTTTGGGCGCTCGAAATTTTTCCTGGTGACAAAATTAGGTTGGAGCATCATAACCCTGGGGAAAGTATGGGGACCTCTGGAGACAGCGTGTTGCAAACATCAGGACGTCCGGTGTCTGGGATCGGCAGCGACTCGGCTTCTGCGCTCCTCCTGTGCCTCCTCCGTCCCTTCCCTCGTCCCCCTTCCTCTGGCTCCCTCTCCTCCTCCTCCTCCTCCTCCTCCTCCTCCTCCTCCTCCTCCTCCTCCTCCTCCTCCTCCTCCTCCTCCTCCTCCTCCCTCTCCACCCCCTCTTCCTCACATGCAGACGGCTCCTCCCCGTCGCGCTCCTAGACGCGCCAGGCGTTTCGCCTACTACCTTCGCACCCTTCGCGGTCCTGAGGCTCGGCGTACTGGACAGCTGCGCGATGTGGAGGGAGGGCTGCTTTCAAAAAGCGGAGCTCTCGCCGTGGCGCCGCGTGCACATTTGGTTCTATATATGTGCTCGCAGAAAACACACGAGAGTGTGGGGGGCGTTTTTCGGAGTGGGGCCCTCGCCAGAGCGCCGCGCACATGCGTCCTAAAAGTGCGCAGCTGCTACGAGGGTGGGGGAGGAGGTCGTTTTCACAATGCGGCTCGCGCCTCAGCGCCGCTGACATTTTTTTCAAAGCCCACAGCAGCTTCGAACATGGAAGGCGATCTGTTTTCAAGATGGGGCTCTCACCTCAGCGCTAACAGTTACAAGGCAGGTGTCGTATGAGGTGTTCTTTGATCTAGCGATCCGAAGGTTAAAGTCATACGTGCACCAACTGCTCGGCGGGAGAACGGGCCCTCTTCAACCTGTGGCTCTCGTCGGAAAAACCGTTCCAACTCATGGACAAGAGCGTTTACACGGATGCCGGCGGGCGGATCCTTTTCGAAAGCGGGTCTCTCTCTCGCTGGAGGAGGAGGAGGAAGAAGGAGGAGGAGGAGGAGGAGGAGGAGGAGTCAGGAGGAGGGAGGGAGGAGGAGGAGGAGGAGGAGGAGGAGGAGGAGGAGAGGAGGAGGAGGAGGAGGAGCAGGAATGGGAGGACACATCGTAGAATCTTATGACCCTGCCTCGTCGAATTCCCCATGACTCTGTGTAGGAAGACGCCGCGGGGCCCCTTCTTCCAAAAAGCCGGGCTCTCTCGCCCGAGCGGCAGGCCCACAAGTTTTTTTTTTTTTTTTTTTGCGTCAGCAGGGGAAGCCTGTAAGGACCTGTGAGGAGGCATGAGGAGGAGGAGGGGGAGGGGGAAGAGGAGGAGGAGGAGGAGGAGGAGAAGGGGGAGGGGGAGGAGGAGGAGGAGGAGGAGGAGGAGGAGGAGGAGGAGGAGGAGGAGGAGGAGGAGGAAGAAGACCATCACATGCTAATGAGGGAGGCTAGGGTTAGGCCGACCCGACCCTAACCGAAACCTGGGGGTTACATCCGCTCTCCTCTTACGCTGGCTTTCTTCCCTACGTCGCCCCTCCTTCCTTGAGGAGCTGGGCCGCAGGGATGGGCAGGGAAAGTCGGGGACGGGCCTTCATGCTGCTCTTGGGATGACGGCCGCTTGCCAGGAGGGACCACGCACCTTGGGAGAACCTGCTTTGGAAGCGCTCCTTGCATTCACCTTTGAGTCCTTTGAGGTTGCTTTCGCTGTAGCGGCCGCACCTCTTACAAACGACTAAGAAGGACTCAACATCAAGGTAATCACAAATCATTAATTGGTGCTTCTGGGGGTCCCTAATTAACATTGACAACCTGACTGAATTGCCTGGGCATGCTTCTCGCAAGCGGGTCTTGCGAGTGCTGTCCGTGCGGGCGCGGGTGTGACAGGCGAGGCACAGCCAATGATTATTAAGCCATGCCCACTGATGTCTCGCCACGCCCTGGGGGTTACGGCACGCACGAGCACGCCGAGGACGACCCCCAGGGGGCGGGGGTGGCGCAGTCCACTGGTTGACTGCTCCCGCTGCCCCAACTGGGGGATTGAAACTCTGGGTGGGCTTCTCATAGGCCTTCTTGCCCGACTTCGGAGCGAGTGGGGCCCACAAGGAGAGCGCCTCTGCAGCATACTTAACCAGCCTCTGGACTCGGCTGCGACATTCTTTATAATGCTCGATTTCTCTCTGTGACGGGGCGGGGATTCTGGCGGCCGCTTGTTTGGCCACCTTGTCCGCCCAGTCATTACCTTTGGCAACAAACCAGTCCCTCGAGCCGACCACCAGGGAAGATAGGTCCTGGCGGGCCTTGACTTTCCCTATCTCGAGGGACGCAAAACAGCTCTGGGTCCTGGCCCGTACTGAAACTCCTGAGTACATTTCCTTACGTGAGACCTCGGCGCTCTGGTGCACCGAGGGAGGAGGAGGAGGAGGAGGAGGAGGAGGAGGAGGAGGGGAGGATGAGGAGGAGGAGGAGGAGGAGGAGGAGGAGGAGGAGAGGAGGAGGACTGAGGAGGAGGCGGAGGAGAGAGGAGGAGGAGTAGGGAGGAGGAGGAGGAGGAGGAGGAGGAGGAGGAGGAGGAGGAGGAGAGGAGTAGAGGAGGAGAGTGAGGAGGGAGGAGGAGGAGGAGGATGGGAAGGAGGAGGAGGAGGAGGAGGAGGAGGAGGAGGAGGAGGAGAGGAGGAGGAGAGGAGGAGGAGGAGGATGGGAGAGAGGGAGGAGGAGGGGGAGGGGGAAGGAGGAGAGGAGGAGGAGGAGGAGAGGAGGAGGAGGAGGGTGGGGGGAGGAGGAGGGGAGGAGGAGGAGGAGGAGGAGGAGGAGGAGGAGGAGGAGGAGGAGGAGGAGGAGGAGGAGGAGGAGGAGGAGGAGTAGGAGGAGTGAGGAGGAGGAATGAGGAGGAGGAAGGAGGCGGAGGAGGACGGAGGAGGAGGAAGGAGGGGGAGGACTGGGAAGGAGGAGGAGAAGCTTGAGAGGGGAGGGTGCGTTGCAACATCGCAAATGCCATCCTGGCTTCGCTCTGCTCGCCCGGCCCTCTTCTGCTGCCTTCCTCTCTCGCTCCCCTCTCGGGAGCGGCCAAGAGGGGGGTGTCCAAGAGGGGGGGTGCAAATCATGACCGGCGGCATGTGCGCGGCCCAGCGGGGGGGCCAGGGGCGTAATGAAATAAGAAGAGGCGCCATGAAATCTGGGGAACTATCATTGCCCACGCCATGATCTCCCCCCCCCCCAGTCATCACCCCCCTCTTTTCCGCCCCCGACCCTCCTCCCGGCCCTCCAGGGCCGGGCGGGCCCACACGGGAGCGGACACACGACGCAACCGCGCAGACCCCCGTACGAGCCGCGCAGACCCACGTGGCCGCCTCGAGCGAACCCGCACGCGCGCACACGGACCCAGAGCGAGCCCGCCCACGGCAGGCTCGTGCCGTGCCGGCTTCGGCGTTGGCTTCCGACGCCGCGGGGGATCGTTCCGCCTCGAGAACGATCGGCCGTTTCCGAAGCGTCCAAATCGTTCAGCCTCCTCCTCCTCCTCCTCCTCCTCCTCCTACTCGTTCTGGGTCGCCCGCGGCGTTCAGGGTGGAGCGCCGCCGGCGGGGTCGCCGCCGGTCGAGACGACACGAACCTGCCGCACAGGTGCACCTGCGGGCACGCTCAGACCCAAGCGGGCTCAAAGGCAGACGGGCCTGCGCGGACCTGGGAACCAGAACACACACGAACTCTGACCCACACACACACAAACACATCCGGAAACCCACGAACCCGCAAAGACCCGGAAATCAGATAACTGGAGACTAGGGGCATCCACACGGAATTATACGAACTGGGACACACGCGGACCCGCACAGAACTAAAGACCCGCACGGACCCAAAAAGACGCGGACATGGGCACACACTTTTTGCGTCGGCGGCTAGGCAGAGTCACTGCGCTGGCGAAAGCGGCGTCGGTGGGATGCACGGAACGCGACACATGGGCACACACGACCACATAACCGAGCGGAGATACACACACATGCACCGACACACGGACACGGCGGCCCCAGACGGACCCACACGGACCCGCTCGGAACCATACCGACCCACAGGGAAGTATATCAAACCTATTGATCGAGCCGCAATGCGAAAATAGCCCCTGGGGCCCTGGGGTCCCTGGAAGCCAAGCCAGCGTAAGAATCAGCCAGCTTGACTTTTCAAGATGTTGACATCTGGGCCCCTGTGCTACTCGACTCTGGACTCCTTCCCGGCGGCTGTCATTTCGCCCAGACAGTTTGCTGAGGGCCCCAGGGCCCAGAAACAAGTTTTAGAGGTTGAAAGCTGCAAACAGAAGCGGCCGTTTCGACTTATGTTCAAGACGTTGGAGGTCAGGGGAGTTCCACGACGACGACGATGACCAGCAGGGGTCTCGAGGCGACCTCTGGCGCCGACGTCAGCGACGACGACGACCACGACGGCGACGACGAAGACGTCCGCGCCCGCGACGGACCCCACGACGACGTCGACGACGACGCGGACGACGAGGGTCTCGAAGCGACCTCTTGGCGGGACTGAGGGGAACCGTTTCCTCCTCCTCCTCCTCCTCCTCCTCCTCCTCCTCCTCCAGCTCCAGCTCCTCCTCCTCCTCCTCCAGCTCCAGCTCCTCCTCCTCCTCCTCCTCCTCCTCCTCCTCCTCCTCCTCCTCCAGCTCAGGGGGCGAAACATCGACATGGAATCGGCGATGCCTCGCCGACAGATCGGCGCTGCGCCCCCCGACAGCGAAACCGCACGGCCCTGGGCGGGGTGGGCTATCTCGGGCCCCTGACGGCGATGAGTGGGCGATGCGGGGTCGCTGCGCACCCCCCTGAGGCCCCTCCCCCCCTAACCCAGGCCCCCGCAGGAAGTCTCGACCCATTCCCCAGGACCGGCTTTTCATCCCGACTCGTTTTCCGACGGCCCAGAGGCCCCGCAGAGGCACCGGGAGGCCGAACACAAAGACACATCGGTCGTTGCGATGTCTTCTTGGCTCGACTGGGGCCTGGGAACACATCCCCCTCCCGGCCATCGCTCGGGCGTCCATTCCCTGTGTTTTTTGTTCGGTCTCGTGCGTGGTCTTTTGGCCAAATGATCAAGGGTGCTCCTCGATGTTCCTCGCCGAAGGAAGAATACACACGTCCGAGCGATGCCGAGCCTCTGAGCCTCCCCCCTAAACCAGGCCCCCGCAAAAAGTCTCGACCCATTCCCCAGGACCGGTTTTTCATCCCGGATCGTTGTTTGACGGGCCAGAGGGCCCGTAACGGCACCGGGAGGCCGAACATAGAGACACATCGGTCGTTGCGATGTCTTCTTGGCTCCATTGGGGCCTGGGAACACATCCCCCTCCCGGCCATCGCTCGGGCGTCCATTCCCTGTGTTTTTTCCTTCGGTCTCGTGCGTAGTCTTTTTTTGCCAAATGATCAAGGGTGCTCCTCGATGGTCCTCGCCGAAGGAAAAATACGACAGGTTCGTGTCGTGCCGACCCCAGCGCTGGTTTTTGACACCGCAGGGATCGTTCAACCTTGAACGATCGGCCGCTGCCGCAACGTCCGATCATTCAACATCGATCGATTCTGGGTCGCCGGCGGCGTTCAACCTTGAACGCCCGCGCTGGGGTCGCCGCTGGTCGACACGACGCAAACCTACCGTACACACGTCCGAGCGATGCCGAGCCTCTGAGCCTATCCCCCCCCCTGATGTTGCCCCTGCTCTTGGCGCGACTCCCCGACGGGGCGCGTCCAGTCTCCGGCGGCCGCGCTCAGCGCGCCCCGCGGCACGGGGCCGTCGTCGGCCGCAGCGGCCGGCGTGGACACCTTCGCGCGTCGAGGGGGAGGGGGTGGAGGAGAGAGGCGAGGGAGGAGGAGGAGAGACGAGAGAGGAGAGCGGAGGAGGGGGAGAGGAGGAGGAGAGGGAGGGGGGGGGGGACGAGGAGGAGGAGGAGGAGGAGTAGGAGGAGGAGGAGAGGAGGAGGAGGAGGAGGAGGAGGAGGAGGAGGAGGAAGGAGGAGGGGGAGGAGGATGGAGTAGGAGGAGGAGGAGGAGGAGGGGAGGAGGGGGAGGAGAGGAGGAGGGGGAGGAGAGGAGGGAGGGGGAGAGTACACAGATGAACAATTCGCACTCCTCCTCGTCCTCCCCATCCTCTCTCTTCCTCATCCTGTTTCCTCCTCCACTGTCATGTCTCATTTTCTCTGCTTTCTCCTCCTCCTCTCCCCATCTTCTCATCTTCATCTCCTCCTCCTCTTCCTCCATTATTTTCTCTTCAGTTTGGAACTCCTGCAACACTACGTAGATGGGACTGTACTGGGCTGTCAATCTGCATTCTCAAACGCGACTGCCTCTACTTGGTAAGCTGACCCGCTCAAATGATGCCCTTGTGCGTGCCAAGGCTGGTACGACCGCCTTCCGCTGACAGAGACTGCGACGGACGACGACGACGACGAAAACTGCTGCGCTCCCCCCCAGATATTTTCCCGCCGTCTGTTTGGACCACCAGGCTCGGGCCCATGGGGTCTCCGGTGGCGTTGAGACCGTTCCCCCGTGACGACTCGAGGACCACCGTGCTGTGCGTCTCTTCTCTCCCTCCGTCTCCTCCGTCTCCTCCGTCTCCTCCGTCTCCTCCTCCTCCTCCTCCTCCTCCTCCTCCTCCTCCTCCTCCTCCTCCTCCTCCCTGTTCTCCACCCACCCTCCTTCCTTCAACTCCACTCCTCTGTGTGCTCGGCAGCCGCTTGCGCAGGCATCGCGGCGGGGTCGACGAAGCGCAACCGACGCGCCTTCCCTCGTCGTCGTCGTCGTCGTCGTCGTCGTCGTCGTCCTTTTATCTTCTCATCTCCTCCTCCCTCCCTTCTCCCTCCCATCTCCGTCCTCCCTCCTCCTCCTCCTCCTCCTCCTCCTCCTCCTCCTCCTCCATCTCCTGCTCCTCCTCCTCCTCCTCCTCCTCCTCCTCCTCCTCCTCCGTCCTCCTCCTCCTCCACCTCCGACCTCCCTCCTCCTCCTCGCTGTTCCCCTGCCTCCTCTCTTCCCCTTTCGCCCTCTGCCCCTTTTCTCACACAGGAGGAGCGCGCGGAGCGCGCCGAAGGCGCGCCATGAGACGCCGCCCGCGGGCTCCAGCGCCGATCCTCCTCCTCTCCTCTCCTCTCCTCCTCCCTCCTCCTCCATCCTCCTCCTCCTCCAGAAGGAGGAGGAGGAGGAGGAGGAGGAGGAGGAGGAGGAGGAGGAGGAGGAGGAGGATGAGGAAATCCGCGCGGCCTTCCGAGAATTTGTGTTTCTGCAGTTGTTGTTCTTTCCCCCCCCCCTCCCTCCGCCCCCGGTCAATCCTCGCTCCCTCACTCCCTGCCTCCTCGGAGCCTCGCAGCCGAGGCACAGCAGGAGGCCCAGCTTGGCCGCGTAGTCCGCCACGTGCCACGGGACGGGCACGCCACCGCGGGCCCCCTCGAGTGGCGAGTATCGTTTCGCCGATGCCCATCCCCCCAGCCCCCCCCCCCTCGGCGGCGAGCGAGGGGGGGGAAGCGAGAAGGAGAAGGCCTTCTCAGACGGCGGCGGGGCCTCTCAGAAGCCCTCGCGCCCTGCGGGAGGTTTCCTGCGCCTGCGGGGAAGGCTTAGACAACTTCTCAGCAGGTCGGAGGACTTCCGAGCCTCCTCAGAAGGGCGGCACCCTCCTCGCTCTTCCCCCCTTGGGCGCGCCGCCGCCCCCCCCCCCTCGCCTCGTGAAAAAACATCGCTGAAGGGGCCCTGGGACACACCAAGAAACAGACACACAGAACCGGATTCCCCACACTTCCCCATGTTTTTTTCTGGGTTTTCGTCTGCCCCCCCACTTCCCATGTTTTCCCATCTTTTCCTGGGGATCCACGGTGAATTGTGTCTGTGTGTGCTTTTCCCCTCCTGAATCGCGACGGGTGGTCTTTCCCCTCTTCGGCCTCTCGGGGCGCCCTCGACGGGCCCCCCCGGGGCCGTCTATAGCAACGAGCCTTCTCAGAAGGACTTCCGAGCCCTCTCAGAAGGACGGCGCCCTCGCGCTTCCCCCCACTGGGGCGGCGCGGCGCCGCCCCCCCCCCCCGCGTCTTGAAAACGTCGCGACGGATGGTCTTTCCCATCTTCGGCCTCCGGGGGCGCCCTCGCCAGGCCCCCCCGGGGCCGTCTGTAGCAACGGCTCGCGGCGAAGAGCCGGTCCCGGGGTTGACGCGAGTCGTTGCTCCTGGGGCTGACGCTGTGACACCAACCAGCAGGTCGGGCATGTCCCCCTACAGGCAGATTTTTGGGGAAGCATCATACATGCTCAAACACGTATTCAAGAATGGTGAAACGAAAATGCTAAAACATGTTCGTCCACAGGCTATGTTCTGACTCGTTTTGAGTCTTCCTCCTGTGGCGGGACGTGCCCGACGCAACACTGGCATGGCCGGGGCCCCACCGGCAGTCCTTGCGCCCTCAGGTGGGGACGTGCGCTTCTCCCTCCGGGTCGGGGCCTCTCCCAACCTGGGGGTCGAGCTGGTGGGAGTGTGGCACTCCGGCCCATTTGAGAAGCAGCATCGTGTTGGGAGGAGGGGGTGGGGAAGATATGGGGCACGAGCGCGTGAGAAGCACATTCAGCATACGCAGCGATACGGATGACCTGACCAGGTCTCCCAGCCCGATCTTCCCAACCCGAACATTGTTGCTCTGACCATGGGGGATGGGGATCGGTTATGTGAAAGGTCGGTGGTGTCCAGGGGGGGGGGGCAGTGCCAGAGGAGAAAAAGGGGGTTCTGCAACCCCCTGTTCCCTTGGTTTCCGGGGAGGGGTGCGACTCCCCCCTTCCGGTTCCCGGGGAAGGGAAGGGGGACTTCCCCCCCCCCTGTTTCCCGTTGGGGGGGCGGGACTTTTCCACTCAAGCGACGGTAGATCGCGCTCCCTCAGACCTCTGGGGGCCCGCATTTAAGAGAAGTATGGCCTCGGGGATCTGGGTTGCGGGCCAAGGGAGGTCAGAAAAAACCAGTGTCCGAGGCGGGGATTCATCCATCACCACTGCCAGGCTCCCTGCTGCGGGACCTTGGCCCCTGCTGCCCCCGCTTCGGCCCGACGGCCCGCTGCCTCGGCGATGCAGCGACGCGACGTCGGCGGTGCCTCGGCGACGCTGGCGCGGAGAGAAATCGGGCGCCATATCGAGCCGCACCGGCTATGCATCGGCGACGCGGCGCGATCCTCCGACCCCTCTACTCGGACCCCACCTGGGTTAGAGGGGGCAACTGCTGTGAGGTTTTCGTCGGAAAGATTAAAGAGGATTAAGCCCCATTGCGGGGCCGTTACGCCAGAAAGGGCCTCGGATTGAGCGGCATTGAGCCGGATTCAGCGGGGTTGAGCCGGATGAAGGCGGGATGCGGCGGGACTGAGCCGGATTGGGCCGGATTTCGGACCGGGGCAGAATCAGAATTCAACCTCCCAGAGGAGGAGGAGGAGGAGGAGGAGGAGGAGGAGGAGGAGGAGGAGGAGGAGGGGAGGAGGGGGAGGAGGAGGAGGAAGGGGAGGAGGAGGAGGACGAGGAGGGGGAGGAGGAGGGGGCGGAGGAGGCCCGACCCCGTCTTCGGCCTGCTGGGCCTCCCCGCGGCCGGGCCCCCCGCCGCGGGCCATCGGCCCCCGGCGCGCCGCCTCGCCGCCGCGGCCGCGCGCGCGTGCCTCCGCGGCGGGAGCTCACCGCGCCTCCAGGCGGCGGGGCCCCGCGGGCGCCATTGGCGGGGGAGGCTGCGGGCGATGGGGGCCGCCCGGCCTGCAGCTGGCAGCCGGGGGGGGGGAGCGGCTGCGGGGGGCAAGGCGACACCAGGACAGGACCACCATCGGGCAGGCGCGGCCGTCCAAGACAGCCTCAAGAGCGTCCCAGGACGGCCCTAGGCGACCCCCAGACGGTGCCCAGACTGCCCCAGAGACGCCCTAGACGGCCCCAGACAACTCCCAGACGGCCCCGGACCGCCTCCACACGGCCGAAGGGGCACCCGACACAGCCTCAGAGTGCCCTAGGAGGCTCCCAGGATGCCGAAAAGAAGCTCTGAGAGGCTCCTAAACGACACCCGGGGGGCGGGGGGAGGGTGAGTTCGGCGCTGATCCATGGAGGGCCCTGGAGGTGCAGCGCCCGAGCCAGGACCAGACCCAGATCTCGGGCGTTTTGTTTTCCCAGCCCTCCTGCGTTGGTTCTCGTTTTGAATAGAACACTGCGGTCGCACACGTCCTCCCCTCCTCCTCTTCGAGCGCGTTTCTTTATGTTCGGCGATGACGGGCATCAGGGGGGGGGGGGCGGAAAGGGGGTATGACATAACGCCCCCCCCCCCCCCCCCCGCCGTATGGCTCCGGCACCACAGCCGCGCCCGCGTGCACGACGCGACGAGCGACAGCGACGACGACGACGCGAGCAACATGTAGGTGGCGATCTGGCCCACTGCGCCTGTGTACACCACAACGCGCGGGTGCACCACGACGCGCGTGTACACCACAACGCCTGCGTACACCGCAACAACCGTGTGCAACGCAACGCCTGTGTACACCGCAGTGCTTGCGTACACTACATCGCCGGTGTACGTGTGTACACCGCATCAACGATGTGCAACACAGCGCCTGTGTACACCACAATGCTTGCGTGCACCGCAGCGCCTGTGCACGCCACAGCACCTGTCTACACCACAGCATCCGCGTGCAACGCAGCGCTAGTGTACACCACACTGCCTGCGTGCATAGGCCACGTAGAAGGAGCATGTACGTGAGGATCTGCTGCGGACACCTAAACGCCACGCGGAGAAATTGCTGATCAGCGAATGCGACGTTCTTCCCTCCTCCCTCATCCTCCACCTCCACCTCCTCCTCATCCTTCTCCTCCTCCTCTTCATCCTCCTCCTCCTCCTCCACATCCTCGTTGCCCCCTGTCGTGCGGGTTGGCGCTACAGCGCACGTGCGCATCTCAACGAACACCGCAGAACGGTCTATTGAATCGTTCCACTTGATTCTCGGACGGCCAATTCAGCTGGAGCCTCCTGGACGCAGATGGGAAGAGTTACGATGATGCGGGCGGACTCGGGAGGACTCGTAGATTCCAGCGACGCTCCTTTGTCCATAAGGATTATTTTCTATTGTTTTCTGTGGAATCCACAAGCGCTCCATTTTGTCATACGGATTTTTTCCAACATTCTATATGCAACACTGGTGCTGTGTTGCACAGGGTTCCTGTGGTGCACACAGGCGCCGTGGTGTATACAGGCACTGCAATGCACGCAGGCATTGTGGTGTACACTGATGCTGTGTTGCGCACGGCTGATGTGGTGTACGCAGGCGCTGTGGTGTACACAAGAGCTGTTGTGCCCGCAGGCACGGTGGCACAAACTGACGCTGTGTTGCACGCGGCTGCTATGGTGTACGTAGGCGGTGTGGTGTACACAGGCGCTGTGGTGCCCACAAGCACTGTGGTGTACACAAGCATTGTGGCGCAGATCGCCACCTGCCACCTGCATGCTGGTGCCACCCGTCCTCCGTCATTCTTAAGCATTCCCAGACGCCGCTGGCGCGAAACGTGACGTCATCGACCCCCCTTCCCCCCCCACATGATTGCCGTCATCGGCCCGCAAAAAAAAAAACAGGCTCCAGCCGCGTCCGCGCGCACGACGACGATGAGCGACGAGCGACGAGCGACGACGACGACTGCGGACCAGACTCCTCTGCGGATTCCTACGCGGACACCTATGCGGATACCACTGCGCACGGCGGCAGTGCCCAGAGCGCATTGGGGGGGGGAGCGTTGCGTCATACGGGGGGGGGGCGGGGGCCATGACGCCCGCCATGCCCCAAACAAGAAAGAAACGGGTTCCTCCTCCTCCTCCTCTTCCTCCTCCTCCTCCTGTCCTTCTCCTCTTCCTCCCCTCTCCTCCTACCTCCTCCTCTTGCCTCCTCCTGTGCAGCTCCTTAGGGGGCTGCGATCTGCGCAGCTGTCGCCACTTTCGTGGGCTCCAGCGAGGCACGTCAGAATCGGGAACTAAACGGATCCAGACTAGACCTCGCAGCTCCCTGGGGGGCCGCGAACTGCGCAATTGTCGCCACTTTCGTGGGATCCTGGGAGGCACGGCGGGGTCGGGCAGTGAACAAACCCGGAGTAGACCTCGCAGCTTCCTGGCAAGGCCGCCCTCGACACCAACTTGGGGGAGCTACGGCGCGGCACGCTCAAGTGGGCTTCAACCAAAATGGCTACACGGGGTCTGCCGCGCTGCTCCGCCGTGCTCATGTGGTCAGCCGTGTTGGTCTGCCGTGCTCCTGATCTGCCGTGCTCTGACCTGTCGTGCTGCTCTGCCACGCTGTCACGGTCTGCCGTGTTGGTCTGCCGTGCTCCCGCCGTGAGGCCTATCGGGGATGATGCCAAGACGATGTCCGACAGGATCGTTGTTCGAACTTATGCTGTCATATCTGGTTTGTTTGAAGATGTCCCTCGCGAGCTCGTCATCATCGGGAATCCTCAGGGCGCGCTTGGATCAATCCTGGGGCCCTTTTTGGGACCTTGTTGCTTCGTATTCGAACGCATCGAATAACGATACCAATGCGACGTTGCGAACATATGAATGTTGTGAGGGCGTCCCGCGTAACATCGGCACTTTTAGAGACAACGTGGAATCATACGACAATGTTGGCCTGCCGTGCTGGTGCTAATTGTTTGGGAATGTATCGAGAGAGCGTCCTTCTTAACATGAGAGGCGCTGCACAAGCCCTGTATATATCATGCGTGTTGCATGTCTCAGGCGAAACGCTCATTGTTTGCAGATTGTCGGCATTCGCGACTTCCATATGTTGGAGGATGTCTCGAGCGGAACGAACGCTTGTTTTGTTTCACGGCGATATTGTGAACAACTCATTGTTGTGAGGATGTCCCCCAACAAATGCCTCAAACGAGGGCTCCGTTCTGATTCATCCCCGTGCGATCGGCCACGGTGTATGATTGCATATTTTAGATGTGCGGCATATTCAAACAGAACGTCAATCTTGCATCTCGCTCCCCGAACACGCTTTTTGTACGACGGCAACCCCAAATCAAGAGGTCTCGCGAGCTCCCATAAGGCCGACCCAAGGGAGGCCTGCGCACGCGTGCGTACTCAGACACATCGCGCGAGGCGTCCATCCCCTGATGGACACGCCGCCGGACAGACAACCCTCTGGTCGCGCGACTGGTGGCGACGGACTGTCGGCACTTAACAGAACGCAGTGGCCCCGACGAGCCAAGAAAAAACCATGCACAACAGGGCAGCTGCATCAGCGAAAGGCAGACTGGCGCGCGAAACGAATCAAGGGGCCCCACCGAAAGAGTATACCCATCATCTGTTACAAGTTCATTTTTTCTCTCCCTTTGCCTCGACTTTCTTGGCGGCTTGAAGCGAGGGGCATGATCGCCGTCGGTCTGGATGCCCGCAGGCTTCTGCCACTACGGAACCAGCCAGGCAGGGGGTGCGGGTGGACTCGATCAGCTCACGGTGGCGGACGGCCGCTACGATCCAGCAGCCCTTACCCTCCTTCTCTCTGTCCTGGCGGACTACCACGGAGCAGCGTGACGCCTGGAACGGGTGCTTCAGAGGGGCCTTCTCGCCAGTAGTGACCACCGCCTTCGAGGCCATCATGACCTGCTGCTGGTCGCTCTCGGTCTTGTCTTCCTTCAGGGCAGCTCCGTGCCCTCGGGGTGTCAACTGCAGGTGGTACTGGGCCGCGCTGAGCGGGGCGTTGGGGCGCGTGCCCTGTGGGTGCCTCTTGTGCGCTTGGTTGGCCTCCGCGGCCGCCGCCTCGGCGGCCATGCCCTGGGAGTCGTAGGGCGCCGCCGCGCGGTCCATGCTCAGTGTCATCTTGGCCTTGCTGTCGAGCTCCAGGACCACGCGTCGCGGTTGGCGGCGCGGTGGCTGTCCTCGCGTGGGAAAACGAATTCGACCATCTCCTTCAGCGACGCCCTCTCCGTGCTGGGCGCCGGGCGGAGCACGTTGGCCGGCGAGCCTGGAGGTCCACCAGATGGCCTCCTGCTTCTGTTTGATTTTGCGGACCGTATCAGCAGAGAAGGCAAAGAACTGGCGCGCCGTCTTAGGCGTGAGGGAGTCGCGCGCTGCGGAGGCCACTGCCATCTCCAGGAAGTCGCAGTAGTCGGCGGGGGGGGTCTGCGCAAGATCCTGACCCAAGGAAGCGATGGCGTGGTGCACTCGGTTCTGGCCACGTAGGGCGTCGCAGATGGCGGTGGTCACGGGGCCGCCACTGCCTGGGGCCACCGCCTCAGCAATTGACCAACGCAAAGCCTGCAGGTATTCAGTGCGAAAGCCTGGGAACTTTGTTGCGCGCGGTGGCGATGGAATCGATCCGCGTCGCACCCTGGCCATCGGGTTTTTGCCGTGTAGCGCTGCGTCCCGCTGCTGGTCCACGGGCGGTGGGAGCTCCCACGCCGCACTGGGAGAGAATGTCATGCAGGTGTCGTTCAATGTCGGCCCACTGTGGTCGGTACTTGCTCCGTGAGCTAGCGTGTCTCACTGTAGGTAATGACGGCGCCATGCTGCCATCGCCATCCAGGGCCAATGCAACTGCGCATCGCGAGGGGGTGCAGCACGCGGCTCGACGCACATTGCCGAAGTACTCATCCTTGTCGCAACGGCACGCTGC